TGGCTGCTACAGAATATGTCTGCAACATGGGCTGCTCTTCGAACAGCTAACCAAACAAAAATGGTGTCTGGCTGTGCAATATCTCCTCTTCCGCAGTTAGCGACAGATCAGAGAGTATGCATTTTGGTGTTCATTTGTTTGGCATTCTAAGTCGCGTAGATCGCGATCTTGTACTCAGAAAAGGTGTGGCGACTGGCGACAATTTATTAGTTACAGCTACGTGAACGGAGGGTCTGTTGATCTTTGCGATTCCGGAACACACATCGCCGGGTTTACCGATGAAACGTGGTTGCAAGTTACTTTTGTATTTTTATACAAGGTATCTAAGCCAGCGCTACAAACTGGACTGCGGCAATTCTTTCTGTCAATTCCAAACGCTCTTTCACACTGGATTACTACAATTCTGATTAGTCAAAAGCTAACTGATAGTGGAAAATCCTTTTTGTACGTAACAAAGTCGGTTTTCCGATGAGATTAAAAATCCTCCCAAGAGAAAAACTGAAATTGAACAGTAAGAAGTGTACAGCTCCAGGACACCGTGTCGAACTAGATGAGATGGAAACCAGACCGGCACGGCTCGGCTTTGGCTTTTAGAGCATGAAATGATGAACACAAGTTAGTTTTTGCTTTCATTTGGACGGAAAGCGAAAACGTTTTTACTCTTTTTACTAACATGCCTAGTATACAATGAACGAAAGAAAGACGTTTTGTCATCTTCATTTTGCTATAAATTGTCTTGCATAGCTTTTGTACTAGTTTTAAAATATACTCAGTGACATTAGAAGTGAGAAAAAAGAGAGGAAAAAATAATTTTTCAACTGGATTTTTTGACAATGAGGTATGATATCAAGAATGAAACATTTTCACGAAATTGTATTGACAATTAATAAGAAAAAAATTAATAATGTGTCGGGCGACCCCGCAGATGAATACACCCCTGTATACTTCTACGGCCATCGTCCGTATCTAGACAGAATCGCGATTCGTCTCTGAAGATGACATTATGTCATTCTGCCTTTCAATATTGCCTGTCCCAGTTCAAACGTCGACGACAGTGGTCCGTAGTCAGAAGAAGTACCAACCGTGGACGGCTTAAAGAAAGTCCAAAGGCTCGGATTCAGCGATAGAGTGCACGCATAATAACTGGTCTGTCTTCTTCTCCAAACCATTGGTCAGCGATCTTACTCAAACTAACAAAACGGTCTCGTAGGGGTAGTTGTCTGAATCGCCTATCTTGACGCTCTGTCGTACATCTCGGTGGACCAGTTGGTCTTCTTCGTGTTCCTCTACCTTCTTCTATCCACACACGACACACACGCATTACCGTCATTTCAGTACAATTAACACGGCGGCCCCCGGAGTGTCACTGAGTATATTTAACTAGCAGCACAAGAAACGATAAAACATATTCGAGTAAATAATGTTTTATTCTAATCCTTGTCCTGGCATGTGTTATAGAGATCAATTCTCGCTTGAACAGATAAGAATGACTAATTGGCATATTATTCCATTCAAATTTACTCCCTCATACGCGAAGATAGTATTTCCAAAGTGCGTAATTACTCCTCGCGCTGCCTATATTATAACATTCTGGAGGAACAATAGGTCGTTAACTTTTATCTTCGTTAGCAAGATGAAACGACACGCTAAGCTGCCTTTTATTTCATTTCACTGGCCGTCTAGTGAACGGCTTTCATTTTAGATGCTTCTCTAGATTATTTTCGTGGCATTCTTATAGGTTACCGACGGAGGAAGTAATGCACAGGGCACTACAAGTAGTCCGGTGGGTGGTTAGTGGGTTCGACCGCGCGTCTTTTTTGACAACCATCGTTGCGGCGATTGCTGAATCGGTGCTTCTATGTCTAATAGTGATTTTTATCCGATAACATCCACCACTGAAAATAGTGGGTGTGTCTAGGCCAAAAGCACAATCGCTTGCGAACAACCTGAAAATTATTATGAATGACCGAGATAAGGCTTTTCGTAAATACAGGGTGACTTCGAAGTTGAGTCATTTATTTTAACAGTGAGTAGATCTGATCAAAAGAAATGTTTTTTTCCTTTACCATTTTTCTGGTAAAATTAAAGTAACAAAGTTATAGCCCTTTGGAAGTACCGCCCTGTCTCAATAATAATATTATGTGCTCGTGTTTGGCAACAACGGATATAATCCGCCTTATCGGTTCATCGCATCGGAAACAAAAAAGCGAAAGAATTTGGAACGATGTTTTTACAATTATTTTATACAGTTGTATACAGTCAGTGTCAGTCGGTAACGCGTGTGAATAGTGTCTGTTGCGTGGCTCAAACGAAATAAAAAATGGCACAGGTGACTTAAGACCTTACAGGGGACGGCATGCCGGTGCTCCAAGACCTCCCGATCAAATACAGGTCCGCACTGAAATACTTGTCGGGAGGATACTTTATAAAACAAGGTAAAATTTTTTTTTTAATTTTTTTTTTTATTTTTACACACATATTTTGGTTTATCTTCCTTCTACAATCATTATCTGAAAATTAATGACTCAACTTCAAAGTCAACCTGTATAGACGGCCTCGAACAGATACAAATCGAAATCATTACAATGAATTCAGGAATTTTGCAAATACTGCTGTCCATGCAGAGGGATCTGGTTATCTGGTTACATTCAACATATATCTCATCAAAAAAGCTCTGCAGCTTTTTATAAAGCACTCAAGTAATTTAAAATTCAGGATTCTAATATAACTGATATTCCAGACGATTTAACAGTTCCCAGTTGTTGTTTTTTTAATTGACCAGGTTTTCCTGGTGATGCATTCTTGAGAAGTGCGTTTCAAAATATCCAAGAATTGATTAGCCCGGAGAAGTTCCAGCTTGTCGTACCATATGGTATATATACTTCGTTGAAGATCGATAAGACAAAACAAAGACAGACGTATGAAAACGCTAAAACAATGGTTTACAAATAAAAATGACCTTTCTCTATGCATCGTCCGTGGAGAAAGTAATAGTTTGGCTTTACGTCATGGCTGAAGGCGAGGGTCAAGTTCAAGCCCGCCGCACAGCGGAATCGGTCGATTTAATTTGTGATTACGCTATGGAATGTTCACTCCTCTCGTTCCAGTTTTGAGTTACGTAAACGGAGCCAGCAGAAGCGGCAGCGCACCGAACGATGGTTCGGCGCATCTGTCATAGGCGTATCGAAACGGGTAATAGCCTAACAGATGGCGACATTCGATTCTTAAATGAGAATTTTAGTGCTTTATCTTCCGAAATTGTTTGCGGAACATTGCCTGCTGGCTTGAAATTACTCAAAATATGTAAGTTTAACTACTTTTTGTAGGTGACAAGATACAAGTGACAGAAGAAACTATATGCAGATTTGGCGTAAATTGATACTTGAATTTTTTAAATGAAATCTAAGGATAAAAACTAATTATAGCGCTAATGCAAAGAAAACGTTTCATGAACCTCTACTCTCGGATTTCTATGTTACAATTTAAAAAAATGACGTCAAGTAGGTCTACTATACACGCAAGGCTATTATCAGTTCATAAAGGATTATGTTCCGCACAAGTTACCCATCTGAGCTAAAAGTTACCTACAAACATGTGAAAAAAAATGGAACAAGTCATCTGAACAGGGGCATACGATTAGTCGATAGTCCTTACAGTCTTCCCTTCCCTACCAGGCGTATCGGCAACGTTGCTTAATCATGCCCTAAACTAACGCCCGCTGTGAGCGATCAGGAGCAGACATGATTTTGTGCACGTTCGCTGCGTTGCCATGCGACCGATACGCGACGCGTCCATTGAAAATAGGGTGATTTTTTTTGCTAGTATCTTTTTGGCAACACTGTTTTTGACAGATGACGCGTGAATCGTGTCTTGTGTCATTGTCAAACTTGTTCAGTTTGGTCTATAATTTAACCATGAATCGACTTACGAACGAACAACGCTTGCAAATTATTGAATTTTACTATCAAAATTCATGCTCGGTTAGGAGAGTGATCAAGAAATTGTCTGGCCGATATTTAGATGTAGCTGTTGAATACAATGTAACACTTTGCTAAAAAAATTTGCACGCCTGTGAACCGAAGAGGAAGAGGAGGACGCTCCTTTCCGCGACGGGTTCTTCCAGTTCCAGCGTGAAAACTCGTTTTCTACAGACAGGAGAAACAGGATGCTTTTACGTTTTACGGCGTGCATTCCTCTTGTTTTCATTCACCATTATGTCTCTGTAATCTTGTGTACTTTGGAGTACAAATGTTTATTCGTTTTCACGTTACATGATATACATGGTGTTTCAGAAAGAGACTTGCCAACATTTTCCAGGGTAGAAAGTACATCCAAAAATAACAAAAAAGCTCAAATAAATATGGGTTTAAAGACGCTCTCCTATCGAGGTGAAGGGTGATGAAATTTTATTTACGAAATTGAAAAACATGTAACTACGGAGCGGGTAAAGGTATTGAGTTACGATTTTAGACGTTTAGAGAGCAAATCATAAGCAATAAACACACAGAGTAAAGAGAAAAGTAACTTTTACGCACGGCGTTCGGAAAAGTGACACTTTCCAAACTGAAATGCATCCGGAAGGTTGCACTTTCATCACACGGGTAGAAAAATATTTTTTTAACGTACTACTGTTATAATCTATTTTAAGAACATTTCGACTATATGATTACAGGCACAAGATTCAATCGAAAGCTCATTGTCTTCGAAGTAGATATAAGCAATTTGAAAATGATCTACATATATTTAATAGTTTAGTAGTTTTGCAATAACTTGTTTACTAATTTATTGATTAACGTTCGTTTAGTCTCAGTATATCTGTAATAAAAGCTCCAAATTTCGTAAAAATGTCATTTAAAAAAATAAGAGCAAACACCTGTCTTTTTACCAGATTTCACTACCGTTTCTTGCAAATTTTGGCACCTAAACTTAATTACAATATATCGATATAACGCAGTATAGGTACTTTATGGAAATCTAAAATGTATCTGGTGTTGTTACAGAACAACATTACGTGGCCGCAGACTCGAACAGCTCGTCAACAACAAAAACGTTTGTACCCTGCAAGGTCTGCGGCGATAAGGCTTCAGGATACCACTATGGAGTTACATCTTGTGAAGGCTGCAAGGTAAGTCCCGCGCAAATCGCTAAACTAATCGATTTGTCACTCGCACATCCGTCATTTACGTCTAGTCTAATCAGATTAGACGAAAATACGAGTCTGGTTTTATTGATGCAAGTTGTTCAAGGGGGTATTCGAAACATGGACGCATAAAATCGGTATCCAAATTTTTGTGGGAAACATTTTTATTCGACAACAAAGAATGAGAAAACGTGTTTTTTTGGGATTCAATAGAAAGTGTTGGCAGGCACGAAAAAAACTCTTCATACAACATTTTTAGGTATTTATGAGACTTACAAAATAAGACCACACGTAATAAGATCCGACTAATAGCAAAAAGGTTATGGCCGAAAACCGAAGCTAACTGCAGGTTTTGGCACTTGGTAATGACGATGTTTTCTCGCAGACATTTGAAATTCAGTAGATAAGCCGCCAAGTTCACAATAACACTTTAATTTTTTCAGAAGGTCTGTGGCGTGCGGTTGAATTTTTTGGTGTGCTTCATTTATCTTTGTGACATCAACTTTTAAAAGGATATTTCGACATGAGTGCCTTATTACACGAAGGGCCAATAACCGAGAAAACGGACAAAAAGGGCTTTGTTGGTTTCTGAAAAAGAAACTATTATAAATATTTATATAGCTTCTCGGGAGCGCTATCCAAATGAAACTCGGCCAGAACGTGTAGCCTTTGTTTCAAGAGCATCAGGTCAGGATTTAGCTTTGAAGTATAGTTTAAAATGTTTCGTAGTTCGCCAAAACCTGCAGTTTGCTTCGATTTTCGGCCATAATTTTTTTGCTATTAGTCGGATCTTTTTACGTGTGGTCTCATTTTGTAAGTCTCATAAATATCTAAAAATCTTGTATGAAGAGCTTTTTCGTTCCCGCCAACACTTTCGATTGAATCCCAAAATACCCGTTTTCTCATTCTTTGTTGTCATGTAAACAGTTTTCCCACAAAAATTGATGTACCCATTTTATGGGTTCACGTTCTACATAAATATCCCCTTGAACAACTTGCACCAATAAAGCCAGACTACGATTATTTCGGAAATGTTTGCTAATATGATTAGAGTAATCACTGAAGGTTTTGAAGTACCTCGAAATTTATCTGAGAATACATTTGATAGGACAAAACATCATTATTCCAGTGGATTTTAAGAGAACAGATTTAAGAATATTATTACAAATAAAAAAGACGTTTAATTATTATTAATTACTTGTACATCTTAATTGGAAGCTCATTATTTAACCTAAATAATTTATTGATGGAAATCCGGTTGATTCGAAACGTGTAGGGTACCAGCTATTATCTGAAAGGCATATTACCGTTATATATGATCGCTACTGATCCGTACGCCGTTGGACTCGAGAAAGAATGTGGAAGAACCACCATCATCAATTACTATTATAGATTTGATGTGATGGGACGACCGTTGAGATTAGACATCTTCGTGTAGAATATTGGAGTCTGGTGTGATTGAACTGAGATATTAAATCAATCGAATAGAGTAAGATATGGCAATAGAATCATCCATCACAAGAAACTTGGGATATTGAAATGGTTCGGATATGTGGAGAGGATGTCAGGAAGATGGCCCAAAAATGTACGAATTTTCTTCTAAAATACGACCCCCTTTCGTTCATTTTGAATAATATTACCTTCTTTCTTGAGTTTTCAAGCATTTCGCGTTCAATCGTTTTGTATATAAACCTTTGGTTGGTTGATCATGGAATGAGTTTGTAGAAAAATCTCTGACACTTTTTTGTCACATCCTGTGCTTCCACATATTTGTTCAAATCTCATAAACGGAGACTCAAGGAATAAACGAGCTTCAGCAACTTTTATATTGTATTCTTGTATTCTCTACAACTTTTGTATAAGGTATTTTTGTCGTATATCTTTCTCTTTTAGACAAAACGTAATATTTTCAACTTTTCAACCGGAATAAAATAAAGTACCGTTCCAAGGATATACGAGGAGTTTTGAAATATTATTCGTAACTCAGCGGGACTTTTAGCAAACCTAATTTTTATTCTGACTGGAGTGTTTCTTGTAATTACATTAACGCTATCATCATCATGTTGAATGAATTTGATCATAATCTGCATATTCTATTGAGGTGTATTTACATACGACGTGTGATGCATTAACATGTTCACTTTCTTCGAGCATTTCCCATGGTTGATGACTCGCAAATGGCTGAATAATGATCACAACCACAACGCATTCAAGTTATTTAATCTGAACAGAGAACCGTTCGCTCAATAACGAACTAGGAAATAATGCCGTGGTACCTACTAGAGTTGTGAGAAATAGTTTATTTTAGTGATCCGATTTCATGATATCGATTCCTATTTCGATTGGGCGCTACAAAGAAACGACACCGCAGTGAGTACGGATTATTCATCGATTCGAATGGTTTCCATCCTTTAACTTGAATTTGTTGGTGTCGATGCCAACACCTACCGGCAGATGTATCACGTATCTTGAAGTAATATTACGTGAGCTTTTTCAACATTTTACGGGTTTTTGTGGCATTATGTAAGTTTTCCCATAAGATGTGCTGCTTCAGAGATGGCATTATTGGGGGTTTAATGTGTACGTTATATACTATAGCTGGAAAGAAACGGGAGAAACGGCAGTGCACAAGTGCTCAGTGAGGATTTGTGTGCTAATGATCTGTGTTGAAAATAATTCCCTCGATTTCTTGTTTCAAGTACATTTTCTTGAGATATATGCTTCACCCTGGAAGTTACATATGCAAATTTGCTGAATTTAAAAAATAGTGAGACAAAACAGAACAAATGAATAGTACTTCTCTTCAAATTCTTTCTTCATAATTTCGCTGCTGTTTTACCTCACATTAGGTTTGTTATTCCAAACGTGGTCGTTTCTGGAAGGGAAAGTCCTCTGTAGAGCCCCGATCCGTTAAAAAATATTTCACAATTAAGAACAGATATGTATTACTTTTATTGTCTGTCAATGAGGGCTTAAACATGCTCCATGAATGGATGCTAACTTCAGCTAGAAACATTTGTTAACGGCTGAAAAAAATTCTGCTACATGTTGCGGAATTCCGCCACTCTGGGCAACACTGCGCCGAAGTAGTACCGCTGGCGGTCGGTTGTACTGCCTCCTGCCGCGATCCAAAACTCGTTTCTCTAAAAACAAAACAATGCGTATACTATTACGTGTTTAGTTACTATCTCCATTGGGATCTTGCTATGCCTCTTTCTCTGTCCGAAAGAGGAAGCAATCTGCAATATCGCCTGCAGTGGCGCGCATTAATGCACTTGCAACTTTAGACGTTCTAACTTTGTCCTTCATTTAGGCCCAATTTTATACTGCTTAAGGTTAGTAGATCTGGTATTGTTCCACAATCTCGAAACCCTAGAGAAAAAGGAGCATGTACGAAGTTCGACACGGTTAGGATGCGAGAATGAAGTCAGTCGAGTCTGTCTGGCAGGCACATCGCGAGGCGCCATCACCGAAGAGCAAAGGCTTCTTCTACTTCCATTTCTTAACTGTAAACAAATAGCCTAGCTTTTTCTAAGCAGCTGCCGCTATTGACGAGATGTGTTCGTGCCAGACCAAGTCCGCGATGATTTGGACTCCGAACAGCCGAAATAAACTGCTCTTTGACCGACCTCGGCTATCCATCGAAACTGGATGAGCGCTAGGACGCCTTTTTTTGTTCATCAAGGTACAGAACTGTGTTTTGGAAGCATGAAACTGTTCAAGACTATTGTGATAACCTCCGGATCTCTCGACAGAGAGGAAGTCGCCGATAGCCTTCTTTTATCCAGCTCACTCCTAGAGGTCGGCTTGTCACCCTGAATTCCTGCATGTAGAGTGCTGTACACTTCAAAACTGTGGATTGGGAAAGAAGATCTTTGATATGCAAGAGGAGCAGTATCGAAGCCATGACCGATCCCTGGGGAACACTCGCGTTTTGAATTAATGGAACTAGTGTATGTATGTAGAGGCAATGAGACCAAGGGTCTGGTTCAGGGCAGTTTTGTTTAATCAAAGATTTCTGTTGCGCGAGTTATCCGTAAGAACCACTTCCCGAGTGGTGTTTTCTCAGAAAATGAAATTTTCGATTTTTTTCAAAAATAAAAAGTGATGATAAGCAACGAAATATGGTTTTCTACAGCCAGCTCCTTATAAAATATGACAGCACTTTTTGTTGCTCTCTACATGGTGGAATTTCACTTAAAAACCACCTACGGTACCCGCATTCAATAGTGCATCAATTTTAGATGCACATATTCTGCAAAACTTGATCGAACAACATGCAGCATTCTATTATTCAAAAGAGTAACTGAAGAATATGAGCCGCCGCTGTCGCTGAAGTTATCTAGTACCGTTAGTTCAGTGAAACCGATTATGGATGCATTTTACTTTTTCTCTTCCGCTGCTCAAACACGTAGAACCAGTATTTTTGTGTTTGCTGCATATTATTTATACGCGCCTGTATCTCAAATACACTGCTAATTAATTGAACAATCGAAGACTGAACGCACGTCCATTATTGTAACTTATGCGTTACGAGAGATCTCTTTGAAATTGCCTTTTTTATTTTCATCTGAAGTGATTTGGCAACGTTGGCACACGCCCACAATTCGTTCCATCTTTCTACACAGACATTGACAACCTTCGGCCTTCTGTCAAAGGGTTCATCTCACTCATTATTCCATGACCACCATTTTGTGCAATCATCAAGTGGCTTCACGATGTAATGCTTTAATGTTTTTAAATAATTTTTAATCTGTTTTTAACTTGTTCTTGTCATACTTTATATAATTTTGACCATTGTACCATCTATCCAGCTCTCACCATGTTACTGGACGTTTCCCTCATCCTATACGTAAACAACAATTAGCAACATCCTCACATACTACTGTAAGTTGAGTCAATTTAAATTCATTTTACACTATTGTTGCTACTGTTATCATTGTAATTGCAGCTCCTGATGATGATGGCAAAGTCCATTGAAAACTAGAGAGAATTAAAAAAGTATAAAGAGTCCTCTTTGCTTAAATTTTGTCAAAGTACCCAACAAAAGGCGGAATTTTTCACCTAACTGGTCTAGACGACAATGACCACGTCTCAAGTTATATAATATATAAAGGACGACAACCAGGGTTGGTGATGCACGTATGACGCGCTGCTCCGCGACGAAAGGAACCTTGAAGATTCAAATTCAAATTGTTTTATTAGCCTAAGAGACATTACACATTATTATACATATGTATAGGATTTTTCGGAATAAAAACTAATAAAACAACACAAAATAAATATATGTATAAAACAAACACACAAATAAATCATAACATAACAAACTCAGAGACGGCATAATAACATTTACACACAAGAAAATCTGTTAGTTTAGCCTTAAAACTATGCATACCTCCACACTCTTTAATATGGTTTGGTAGCCTATTGAAAATTCGTGGACCCAGTATTTCCGAAGATCTGACGCCGATCTTATACTTGGCAAAATTTAAGTCTTCAACTTGTCTGGTCGAGTACGAGTTAAAATTGTTTAAAAATCTAGTTTTGTTAATAAAAGTATACACAGCCGTTTCGTATAAAAATAAAGATGGTAAAGTTAAAATCTTAAGGTGCTTAAAAATATCCTTACAAGAATGCCTACTCCCATCATGTATCTAACCACTCTTTTTGGACCAAAAATACTTGTTGAGCATTTGCAGAAAAACCCTAGAAGATGTCCTTCAGTCGGCGTCCCGTCTACAATGCACCCCAATTATCGACCCACCTTCGCTCCAGTTGTCTTTTCTTATGTTTGGGCACCTCGTCGCTGCTGAAAATGTAAAAATCTATGGGCAACTCGTAAAACGATGTTTAGCGCGCGGCGCGAGAACAAGGAATGAGAGTTTGTAGGCCAGGGGCCGGAGAGGAGAAAGGTGGGAGGGCGCGGTGAGCAGCTTTTCTTCGCTGCGTGCATGCTTTGAACTCGTGGGTTTGGCCGGGAAAGGGGATACTACACCTATTCTATTTACGAGACGAGGCCGGAACATAATCACATGTATTAACAATATCTTTTTTACTGTAGTAAACGTGATCTTCTTCAGTACAATGACAATATATTTGTACTGAAACGTTTATAGTAAAGAAGATTCTGTCGATGCATGTGATTTAATTGACCAGACAAGCATGGGGGATTATCGACATGTCAGCCAAAGGACAAGTTTCAGATGCTACATTAGGAATAGCCTTGTGGCAAATTTTTGCCAAAACGAGTGGTACTTTAAAAGTGATGGAGGGTATTAAAGTGTTAGCGGACAGACAGACGACGGAAACAAATGCTGTGGTTGATTTGACGGTGGAAATACTTTCCTCAACTAGTTGCTTGGGAAACATACAACGTTCACCAATTTTGGTTTTTTTTTCAGGGATTTTTTAGGAGGAGCATACAGAAACAAATAGAATATCGCTGCTTACGAGACGGCAAATGCTTAGTAATACGACTGAATAGGAATAGATGCCAATACTGTAGATTCAAGAAGTGCTTAGCTGTAGGAATGTCTAGAGATTGTAAGTTACATTTAAGCAATTTTATTTAACAAAATCTCGCGATACGAACGACGCGTTCGAGATATTTTCACCGTTTGACAAAATGGCAGTTGATAAAGTAGGAGTTTGCTTTGCTTTTTTCCAATATTCGCCTTAAAATCAGTTTACTTTTTAAAAGAGAATATGTCGCATGCGACATAGGCATGCGTTACCGATGTCGAAACGAGAATAACTCCCTCCCCCCTTCCCCAAGAAAATTATTTTATTTTTTGTTTGATTGCCATAATCCAAAATAAACTTGTAACACCTGTCCGCGTCCTACGGGTGCATGGAGGCTATAAACCGGGAGAAGTGACGGCGATGCTGTTCGTACTGTAAAAACGACCCCGAAACTTGACGTTTGGCGCACTAGTGGTGTGCTGACATGGTTGCCATGTTGGGGGTTTTACCCAAATTTAGGGACTTTTACTCAAGGATTTTTTTGGGATATAATGTTCGAAGGAAATCACACGTTTCCCAAACATATAAAGCGTCCCCCGCTCTTTGAACTAAACCAACCCCTTTCCATTAATTAACTGAGAAATTCTGTCCGATCCATCTGGAAACGCTGTGTTTTGACAGATCTGCCAACTCAACAATTATTGCTTATTTCTTGTAAATCCTTGATGTAGCGGTCGGAAAGCTGTTGTAAATTGTTACTGTCGGGCCAGTACCGAGCATCGCAAATAGGAGCTTCTTGTCGGGATCGGTGGTGGGGAGCCGGAAAACACAAGGATGTTGTTAGATTTCGCCAAGCATCACGCGCGGCAAAGCTGCAGCGTTGGGAACCTTATTTATTGAAACAACCCTCGTATTTCCCCTGAATTCATCCGTGGACCTCGCTTATCAAAGGTTATAACATTGACCGGACTAATATTCTTCTTCTAGCTGTACGATATGGTAGGGTGCCGAAACGGAGCCGAGAAAGGGGGAACAGCACAGACGAGTCCACACGAGTAACGACGAGCGATGCTGACCAATCAGACACCGAGACGAAACAATTGGCAGTGTATGACGTCATACTCACCGTGTCGCAAGCCCATCATGCCAATTGCAGGTAAAAACTATTGCTCGATCGTTGACTCAGCATGCCAGACTGCCAGCCGTAGTTTTTTTGTAGAAAATGTTAACGTTTAGGTTAGTTGAACTTTTGGGACACGTTTGTGAGAACTTTTCTACTTAAATATTGTTGATAAATGCCAGTTTGCACAAGCACGTCATTATAACGTCGAAATTTGGAGGTAACTCGTCAACGGACATTAATGTTCCAAATTTTGACGCCGTAATGACGTCTACTAAATGTCCAGTTGTGTCCGTGCACTGCTACACCCTAATTCGCGAGTATCCATCACGCTTTGACGTCTATTGAGGTGAACACCTGATGAGCTAGTGACATTTTTGTGTTAGTCTGCAACGTTGGCTATAATAAATCGGGTGTAAATCTAGCAAAAAGTTGTTTGTAGCATTTTGTTTTTTGAATGCAAATGACCTTTCTTAATACAAGAGCTTTTAGCAAGTACAAAATGAATCTGTAGCGTACAAAAAAACAAAACAAAATGTGGCTCTGTCTACCTGGTGTTGACGGATCCGTCAGAATTGTGTCGTTTGCCGATATTGGGAATTTTGAAACATTACTAGATAACCAGCTGTCTCATTCTACCGTGATGGATACTCGTGAAATAGGGTATAGATGTTGTTATACTTTTTTTTGAGGTTATCTTTTTTTAATCATTTACATATATTTTTATATGTACGATGTTTTTGTTAACTTAAAATCAATCTCTTGTTAGAAATGACAAATTAATAAAGCAATACGTTACCGTATGATGTTCCATTTCTCTTTTATATTTCTAGTGTTCCGTTATATTTTAATGATGTTTAAGAATAGGAGTGAATGCGAAAAACAACCTTATTGGACACAATATTTAGATAGACGTCATCGAAATGTGATATTAGGAGGTTATTTTTACGTTATTTCATGACCAGTTTGAAACGTCATTTTCACGCGCTTGTGCTACCTGTGAAGTAACGCCCTATACATTTCTTCATCTAAGCACCTTTAAACCAGCGAAAAATATTTAATTTGTTTGGCATACCTTATATTCTAGTTACACGGAGGACAACACCCGATCGTTGACTCGCAAGCCGGTGACTCCACCCTCTTTTAATACAGCCCCCGATTCGCCACCGGACGCCGCGTCCTCGACAGCGGAGGCGGCAGAAGCGGAAAGAAGGTGGTTGTGGCAACAGTTCGCTAGTCAGATTACGCCCGCCGTACAGCGAGTAGTGAGTATCAATGTTTTATCTAATTGGAAAAACGAACACGTTTATCGAAGATGATAATATTAAGTTGAAAAAATACGTCATAAATCAAATATATCATGTCGATCCTATTTTAGGTACAAGCAACGTGCTTGGAACTGCTGTACCTGTTTCTTATGTACAAGTACGTGCAGCATCTTCGTATTTATTAACAAAAATGACAAGTATGGTGGGCGCAGCGGTCACTCCAAGACGATATCTGTTTACAGTTTATTCGAATAATCATCCAACAATCATTTTACTTTGTTATAGGTGGAGTTTGCGAAACGTGTACCAGGATTCTGTGACTTGGGTCAAGACGATCAGCTGATCCTCATTAAAATCGGCTTCTTCGAAATATGGTTGACACATTCCGCAAGATTAACTACAGTTTCATCGATGATGTTCGACGATGGCACCACATTCACCCGGCAACAATTGGAAACTATGTATGACGTGAGTATTACAATGTCGGAACATTTTTTATTGAGCGTATCTCTCTACCTGCAGAGGTTTTCAACGTACAAAGTTTAAAAAAAGTATGAAACAAATTTTATCTACGTCCAGCCGTTTCGTCTCTAGACCTCTTTGGTTTTTCTTAAGAAAGTGATATTGTATTTTTGCACAGGTCCAAACGGGGTCTGAAAATGAGCAGGAATCTCTTCCAGCGATTTTATTTCTACTTTGGTTCACAAGTTTACTGTTGCTTAAGGATATCGGCATCACACAAGTCCATGTTTTTCGTTTATGTCAACTTTTTGAGTAATAGATCACTGCATTCCTAAGAGAAGAACTCTGTATAATGGATCTTACGCATTTTGATTATTGTTTCTTTACTTTTCAGGGTGATTTTGTTTCATCGTTGATCCACTTCGCAAGTACCTTCAATGCCTTATCTCTGAACGATACGGAAGTAGGGCTATTTTCGGCAGCAGTACTGCTGACAGCTGACAGGCCAGGCGTATCGGATGTTAAAGCCATAGAAAGGTATCAAGATCGGATAGTAGAAGCTTTGAAAGTACAGGTAATGATATAGCTTCCTTTCAAACTATGATTAAGTATCGAATTTTAGACAGTTTGGTTCTGGAATCGGAATTTTTCATTTGTGATTATTTTTGGCACACATTTTGGTTTCGATAAAGTTTTTCTCGAATTTTGGTACAGAACATCCTGCTTTTGACATTGACTGACTGTTATCTGTAATCTGTCTAACCGCGCTCATCAAGCTTGGTGGCTGTTTTGTAGCCGATTTTACTGAAAATCACCCATTTCTCTTGAGAACAGTTCCAAAAAAATACTGAAATGTTGTCAGTTCATTGTATTGACAACTGACAGATGGCATACAGAAATAATTGCCACAAAAAAACGCTCCAATAGCTATTTTCAACAACAAAATGATGCCATGGGCGTCGTGAAGAAAAGCATTTACTTATTAAGTAAATTCTTTTAGACAAATTTCTTCTGGAAGTAGTACAAAGTAATCTGATGTACCTATTAAAGTCTACTGTAAGTTTTAAATCAATAAATCTTCAAAACTACTGAACTGAAGCTCACGTATTTTACATCATTATAAAGGGAATTGAAAGACCTTTAAAATAAGGTATCACTTGACCCCCCTTTCCATTTAAGATTTTGGGGGTGGTGTCACCCCCGCTTAGGGGGCTGCACGTGCTAACGTGATTTTTTGCCAAACTTGTGTCCCCCTCGGAAACAAAATCGACGGGTCTGAGCTTTTTTTTAAAAAAAACTGAGCTGCCAGTAAATGCGTCTGTTTCGTTTTCGATGCGCCACCCTGTATAAATATTTTTCATTGAACCTGAAGAGTAATTTTAATTCTCCCGACGTTACCCAGTACCGTTACCAAAGCTTGTTGAATACTTAAACACTGTGAATGACATCATGGCAACTCACTACCAACTCCTCAGGCGTGACATAATTGTCTCTACAGGGTGTTTTCAAAGTTGAGTCATTTATTTTAACAGCTTATATAACTCGTCAAAACCTTTACAAAGTTTGCATAATAAGAGAGCTGGTTTGCATTATTAAAGATTATTGAAAAAAAATCATTATCAAATTGAATGGATACCGTTTTTACAAAAACTGTTCAAAACTGTCCCCAAATCAAAAGCATTTTTAGTGCGCTGTAAAAATTCTTCCAGAGTATTTACTGCTCCATCATGATACACCAACTCTTTCAAATAGCCCCACAGAAAAAAATCGAAAGGCGTTAAATCCGGGGAGTGAGCAGGCCAACAAATGAGTCCATTGCAACCTATCCATGTATTCGGAAACTCATTATTTAAATGTTCATGGACTTCTAAACTGTGGTGGAGCCCCTAATTGTAGGGAACACATATTCTGTCCCACATTTAGAGGAATATCTTCTAATAATTGTGGCAGATCGTGTCGAAGAAAATCTAAATAAACTTCACCGGTCAGTCGAGGTGGAAAAAGTAGGGTCCAATAAGCATGCCATTTACCATGCCAGCCCAAAAATTTGTGACAAAGAAGACATTATAAATTTGAAATTTGCACTTGTTAGATAAATATTCTCTACTCTTTTATAAGGCAGATGCATTGAAACTATTTTATCAGAAATTCCATTTAAGTGTAATGACCAATTTGAATTTTCATCTATTAGTAATCCCAAATATTTAATACTTGACACGTTTTCTAGCGCAATATTATGTTAATATCTAGATTATTGTTAACTGACTTACGTTTTTGTTTAAATATAATGTATTTTGTTTTTTAATGTTAATTTTTAATCTATTTGAAAACATCCATTTAAGATAACTATTGAGGTCATCATTAATAAGATTCGCTAGAGCAATTATGTCTGTTCTAGTATATACCTGTATACAGTGTCATCTGCAAAGGTAAAACATCTTGCCCTCAGATTGGCCAACTTGAGATTCAGTATATAAATACTGTATAATAGAGGTCCAAGAACTGATCCCGTAGGTGTTAGATAACCATTCACTATCAAAGTCTCCAAGCTTTATGTACTGTTTTCTGTCATATTTATATGTCTTAATCAAGCTGCACAAAACACCTCTAAATCCCATTTTAAACAATTTATCCAGAAGAATGTCGATGTCTACGTCAAAAGCTTTTTTTAGGTCAATGAAAACAGCTACAACTATTTGTTGTTTATCCAGAGCCATTGAAATGTAATCCACAAAATCAACAATCGCACTAAGTGTGCTACTGTTCGTTGAAAAACCATTTTGAAGTTCATCAATCAATAGATTACGGGCATCAATGAAAAATAACATTTTTTTTTATTAACTTCTCTATGATTTTAGAGAATACACTTACCACTGAAATAGGCCTGTAATTGCTCATACATTTTTTGTCACCCAACTTAAAAAGTGATGTTATTTTACTTATTTTCAATTCTGATGGAAAGATTCCTTTTGGTATAGTTTCATTGATTACTCGTACTAAAACAGGTACTATGTATTCTCCAAGATTATTTACATCCTTAACCGTCATATCCGAGTGCTGAGTTTATACTTAGTTATTTCCAACAACTATTGCTACCGAAACAGAATCATTGTTGTGAACCTCACCAACGGAAACAAACTCTTTCAATTACTGAATCTCCGCTTCCAAAATTTTCAACAATTGATCCACCGAGCCGAGAAAAGTATTTATTTGAATTTTTTGCAATGTCAAGTTGTGTATTAATAATGTTATTCTCAGTTATTAGTTGATCAATTGTCACTTTATACTGCTTATTTCACCCTCAACGAGAGTGTAGTCTTATTTCTGGATATCTTGGAGTCATTTTACAAGGCGTGGCACAATTATCTATATAAATTAATTAAGAGACGCCAAATCAAATAGCGTTTTGTCAAGAAAATTGGAGCAATGTTGTTACTCAAAGCTCCGTCATTGAACCAATACTCTATTCACTGTCCTTCACTTACAGGTGGGCCGGAATCACGCCAATGAGCCGCAAATCTTCTCCAACCTGCTGATCAAGCTGCCTGAGCTGCGCAATCTTGGCGCCAAGCACTCGGCCCATCTGGATTGGTTCCGCTCCAACTGGACGAAGCTCACTCTACCGCCGTTGTTTGCAGAGATATTCGACATTCCCAAAACCGAGGATGATTTGCAGTGACATCGAAACGTCATCGTCATCAGTGCATTCTACTAGATTTTCGATATCTTCGAAAAAACAAATGTTAAGACTTTCTTCTTATAAGAAAACGTTTATGATTTATGATGATATGAAACTGTAAGTTCGCACATACATTCAAAAAGATCCATTTGCAAAAATATGCTTATCAGAGATACCTAATTAAACAGTTTTGTATCTGCGTAGATTCTCTGATTGTGACAGTAGAACAACAGAAACATGAATCGAGTTTTGAAAAGATTCAAAATCATTCAATCTCCCAACAATTTTGTTTGCTACGTTTTGGACCAACTATTTTGAGATGTGTAATACCAAAGTTTAGGAGTTTTGGCAGTTATTAAAACTTCGGATCGGAGAAACGTATCTAACGAAGTCTGTCGACGACATGGGAGACTTTGAGTCTTTGTTTTAAATCAGCATGTTTTTGGGTGTTTCATGGCATGCAATAAACTCAGTCTTATTGAATACACATCAAAAACGTGTCCTTGTAAGAAACAAGTAACGGTAACAAATATTTTTTGGAAACGGGGAGCGATTTGCCACGCATCTTGCTGTTTCACGTTTGTATGCCTCAACTTGCTCAAAACCGTGCTAAAAGGCTGATAATCGTATCGTGTAAGGGTTATGTGAAAGGTAGAACTGTGAACGTACTTAATTCGTAACAAATTGGAGTTTATTAGAAGTAAGTAAATAAATATTACTATTAAATATAGCGAGATCAATCTAAGATTGACAGGGTCTTCAAGCTTAATCACTTTTCTAGTGACCTACTGCAATACTGTTGTTTTCGGCTCGACGTATTTTTTGACGTTTTTAAATACATATCATTGTGAACGATGGTAGATGTTCTCTAGATATAATAAGTGTAGAATATCTTAGAATCGTTTGTTTTGTCTTGTTTTTATATGGATACGTTTCCACTTTTTAGTCCACAATTATCACCAAGCAATATATGATAATTAAAAAACAATGACACTAATTCTAAAAAGTATAACAAAAGATGTCTTGCGACATCGGTTGGGACCGATATTTCATTCTAGAATATATTTATACACCACCAACATATTTTGCCATTCTTGGTTGGGTTGGTTTTGAGTCTGATGCAATTGCCCTAATTACAGGTTATCTAACAAAAAACGTTGAAAAAAGCAAAGGTGTGTCTTCTGTGGGTTCTCAGACATGTGGGGTTCCACAAGGTGCCTATTTTATCTTGCATTACGTTAAGACCGAGAGGGTTAAAAATGTTACGCCATTGACGACACTAATTGGAGGTTATACGAGAATCCCACAAATAATGTTTTGGGTATTTATAAAATGGAAATTCATCTATAAAGTTGTTTTCGATACGATTCTGAGTATTCTGCATAGATTGTGTAAATATAATATTATACTTGTTGTCTGTTTTCTTTCGGTTTTGGTGTGAAACGATATAGATTTCAATTTTTGAATCTAAGTTCGCCTCAATAGATACGATATAACTTTCTGGGTTATGAAAATAATTATTGTGCTCGTGATAGAACTAAAAATTGGATACCCAAATACCCAATGGTTTATTTTACAGCTACCAAAAAAAAAAAAATTTAAAGCCAGTTTAGTGAGTATATAATATAGATGTTGATTGTCATGATGAAATAGATATAAATATCTGAATCTCAATAACCGTAAACGATTTTTCTTGGAATATATTTGAAGTCTCGGGTATCATATAACTATTTGTAACGCAGTCTTGGAATTAGCAAGCAAAACTTCTAAGCTGTAGATTAGTTTGCGCTCTTGATAATTATAATATTGTAGACTGGTTATTTGTTGACATTTACAACATTTTTCGGTGGTTTAATGCTATTAACATTGCCAAAACTTGTAGAGTAGGAAGCACATCCAAACAACAAAAATATCCAAAACCGTTTACGTTTTAGTTTTGTTTCTTGTTTGATTAGCTATTGCTTGTTAATTTTGCGACGTAGTATAAAAATATTGTCGATATACTTAGTAGTAAACTATGCTTAAATAATAAGTGAAGTAACAATCATTGCGATATAGCACTATCTAGATTTAATACCGGTAGAATAAAATCTCGTGTTTATATCTCTTAGAGTACAAAAAATTAATTCTTATAGAATTTCTGGTTTTTTATATGGTTATATTATAGCAATTTATTTGTTTTAAGAGAATTTAATTCTCATTAATAATTATTTATATACGATACTTTATATGCGGAGGAATAGGAACACTGTCCAATGTGCGGAACATATCTTTGGTAATAGTGAGATGTGATGGGATCTTGAAATATTATTTTTACCTATACTGAATATCAATAAATGATAAATACGATTTAATAAAAATCCTCCATGAACCATTCATACAAAAAATATTGTACGTGTTTTCACTCCCAGTAAAGCTACTTATCAGACCGCAACTGGCAATAAGTTTATAAATTCTATTGACGCTTCGGCTCAAAAAATAGAAATAAATAAATGAATCTTTATGTTAATTTCAGTATGGGTTCCAAATTTCAAGTCCCGAGAGTATAAAACAATTTATGTATGACTGAAGGAATTTATAACACTCTGTGGTTAGTGACAAAGCTCGGATTTGTATATGTATATTTGCGAAAAAAGCTCATTGAAAGAAGACGTAAAAAGGCGTTTATAGTACCTAACTTTTAATTTTACATCAGCATATGTACATATATATAGGTTTGCAATTCATAATCTTCATTATTTTGTCTGAATAAATTTACAAGTCTGTTCAAAATTTCTCGGAAGTTACGTCAGAGTTCTCCGGAATGAAATTGCTCATAACTATTTGAAAAGTATAATAACAGTGAAATATTAAGGTATTAAGGACGGAAGAATTATCGATTTTATAAATTTGAATTTGTGAATCGCATTCTCGTAACATGAGCCTTTGAACAGCAGAAAATGTGTTTAATTAAGTGACTTCATTAAAAGTTCACTGCCTGATGATATTATATTCTTTAGCTTAGTCTTCTTAAGTTATTTATTTACAATACACTTATACTCATCTACATTCTTTTGAACTGCAGTGAATAATTTACAGAAAATTTCAAATTTCAGAATAGCGTTAGCTTAACATTTTTTTAGTCATATAATCTCGATCAAGTGTGATATTAAAATATTTCACGAATTTTTTTCGTAAACCCGCCGTTTGCTTTCTTCATTTCAGGTCACAAACCATCCCATGGATGGTATGACATTGAGATATATGTTGAAAAAATCGTTGTTATCTATCTTGTTTATATTCTATTAAAGTTTACATGTATAAGTGATGTTTATGCACTAAATACTTTTATTTGTATAATCTGCGGAAGAGATGCTCACGTTATATCGTAAATTTTCTATTGCTACTCATCTGTATGTGAATATTTAGGACTTTATTGTTCATTTCAGTGAAAAATGTATACTATATACACGAATAAATTCCCTTTATTTAGATTGCACGTATTTTTATCCTGATACCTACAGCGGTGGCCGCAGTAGTAGACTCTTCGGTCTCCTGAGGAGTCGCCATTCGCTGTGCGGGTTCGAATCCCGTCCAAAGAGAAATGTTTCTCTTGTCCATGGATGTTGTGATTGTCTGTAGGTGGTAGACGGTCTCTGACTGTCGAACGCAGCGGTACCACCCGGCGGATCTCGTAGGCGGGGCCAGAATGTGTGCATGTTGTATGCACACGTGTTCCCTCCCCAGAGTCCGTGTGGCGGTCACCCTTTCTTTTGTTGTGAATTCGAGCCGTCTTTTTTTAATCTCTCAAAATAAACTTCACTTAAGCGCAGATCCATGGGGGGGGGGGTCGAATGGGGGTCATGAACCTTCCTTTGCGAATCTACTTTAACCACTAATATTTATGACTTTTAAAGTCTTCGATAAATTTAATAGAATACAGACTTTTTGTAAATGTGAGATAGATACAAATGGGTAAAAAATCACTTCACCTGGCAACCCTGATCAATTTGTAAGCGATCATGGCGTGGAAATAAAATAGTGGTCTTGCGTTTTTCAAATCAGAGAAAAGCAGTGTCGTTTGATTGCAAGGAGATGATGATAAGGATCCAAGTTTCATGCGAGTATCATAGATACAGGACAGTACTATTCAAATGCCTCCTCGCGTTTCTGTGATCGTGATAGCACGACACTGTCCACCAATTTTACGAGCGGTTATGCCTAACCATTTATAATCATAGACACAGGTTGATATTGGAGCTTTTCAAGGATACCATCAAGATTCCAGTTATTAGCAAATTTACTTTTAAATAGATACAGTCTGTTATTCCCTATCTAAAAAGCCTGTACAAAAATGCAGTTTAAGTATAAATATATATACAAAAAATATAAAAAGGCTAGTTGAATCACTTACATACAAAAAAATCTAGACTAATTGTGTTCACACACTTGAATCACAAAATTTAATAAAGGAAACTAGGTACCTTAACTAGAAAAGTAGTTTTAAGAGTCATTTTGTCATGCGGTACAGATAAATCATTTTCAAAAAGAAATTTTAAACGTGCATAAAATGGCACAATCAATTTATGTATGAGATATACGTCAACTCTACAACACTTTTGTTAAGGTACAGAAAATTACCTTTTTGTATACCTCCGCATTCGCCATAGGAAACTAAGAACCGCATTCAAAACAAACATAATTAGCTAAATGAAACGAGAGAATTGTATAGTGCAAGCTAGGAAAAAATAGTGAACTGATCAAAGTAGTTATTGTGATAACCGTTTGATGTTCTATTATATTAAGATACGCACATGGAAAACGGAAAGAGAATTTCAATTACAAACACTTCAAAACAGTTCTGGGAACAAGATAAAAGATTTCTTCGGGTTGAATTAATTTTTACTTTCAGATATAATCCACATATAGAGTTCAATTCTCATAACCATTCATAGTATTGCTGACAATTTGTAGGTTCTCCTCCCTACCAATGCTGTAGTCAAAATTACAATGCTTTTGAAGGCAACACAAACTTGCTATTCAATACTAACATTGATCAGTAGAAAACGTAAACACTACGTAGGTACAAAATCGGTTGAGTGAAAATTTAACACATATTTCACGCCAGTATAATAGTGAGTATGTTATCGTTGTGATAAGATTTTAATAACGCACATTCATAAAGCATGTTCTATAGCTTCTTCATTCATACATAGATTATATGAGCTTGCTCAGCAAATAATAGGAATTCAACTTACACTTGCAGCACCAATCATGAGAATATAAATTTTAGACAATTCGTAATTCCTTTTAGTCAATCTAAGCAATAATTAATTATAATCACGTTTAAAAAAGGGAATTGTTGATGAAAGTTTCAGAGTTACATTAAATATGTTCATGTTTTACGTAGTCTCTACAAACAAGGACAAATTGATTTGATGTAAAATTGTAAGTGTATGATCGGTACTGCAATAATTCAGTTTAAATAAAACAATACCACCAACAACAAAATTGTCAAAATATATGTACAACAGCGAATCAATAAATAGATAACATTAAACAAAGGAAAATAAAGCAAACTGTAGCTACTAATTTTGGGTTTATCTTTGGATTGTACAAAATTTATCATATCGTACAGTTAATTATATCTGTATTGTATCTGTATAGTATGTGTCAGCGTCCCTTAATACTATATTGCTACATTTACACACTCACCAAAGTAATATGTATAAACAAAGACTAGCATAATATCAATAAAAATGAGAACAACTACTTTTGTGATTTAAGTATCAGAAACATAGCAGAGCAAAAAGTGTACGATAACCAACAGCATAGCTTGCGATATTTCATTATTATAGCCAGTTTAATACATTTCAACCTTTGCTAGAAGTTGTTCTGTTTTGTTAAGCATTATCTGAAACACGAATTATTTGGGACAAAAATACTGCATTGTATTTAAAACTTGAATAAAAAAGCATAAACCTCCGCTGTAATTTTTTTAATATGGAAATCTATTTGAAAATCCTTACGGTTTTTGCGCAATAACATACAAATAACGAATGCGTTGATCGCGGTAAAGTAAGAAGAGTTCCTTGCTATTTGTTGGTTACACAACACGAAATGTCTAAGCAGCCTGCTTAATTGTAATCAATAGTAAATAATGATATTTTGGCACAAAAGTAGCTTTATCTGCACACTTCCGAAATTCCTTCGAAAACGTTCATTGTGTAGGTGAATATCTCGTGAACCGTGCAAGCTGCATTACGATAAGATGATTTGTGGGTTACAGGCTTTTTGGAATCACATGTCATTCAGCTGCTTGTTTAAGTAACAAGTTTAGAGCTATTTGATGATTGATACACCTAAATGTGGCATTACATAGAAAAAAAATGCAACATCCTAAAAAAATGCCAAGAAATACCCAACGTAAAAAAAACGAATTTTGTAAATATTTTTTTTGAAAAATTGGTGACAATCTGGCAAAAGACATTTCATGAAACACAGCTTATATATACGAAAACCATATTGCAAAATTCCCTCTATTTGATACCGGCCGATCAATACGAAATGTAACATATCATAAAGGGACTGAAAGTTAATCACCGGGTTTTGATAATATAACCGCATACACTCTGAAACAAATAAATTATAAAATTTTCAAAGTACTAGCATATAAACATCTGCATAGAAAGAGGAATATTCCCGACCAAATTAAAAAAGGCAATAATGAAACCTGCATTTAATTAGGCACCTTGTAATTATCGTCCAACTTCAGTATTGACACTTTTCAAAAATATTCTAAAGAATTCTTGAAAAACGCTTTTCAGATTTTATTACAGAATAAATATAACCTCATATCTGAACAGCAATATGTATTCCAGGAAGCAAAGTCAACTCAAGATGCACTTAATTCAGTCAACAACCAAAATTTACAAGTAATAACTCAACAGCACGCCTTTTTGTGGACTTGGCCAAAGCATTCGATAGGAAAAATGATCAAAAACCTTGGAACATTTAGGATTTCATAGAGCCACTTATCAACTCATGAAAAGTTCTTTGGAAGACAGAAAACAATGTGTGAACATTTACAGTACACTAAGTGAAAATATGACTGTTAGATGCGGATTTTCACAAGGAACCGTATTAGGACCAATGCTGCTTAATTCGCATATTAATGACCTTTTCATGTTAAAAAACGATGGACAAATTATTGGTTTCGCAGACTATATGGCAATTATTTACTCAAAGGTTGGGCTTCTTTGCAAAACAAAATTATATTAAATTTTCAAAAAATTTTTTCACGGAAACGATTTCAACAAAACATATTTTTTTGTTACATTTTCTTGCGACAACAGATCTTCCCCAAATTTTAATCAACTCCAAATTAAAACGTTGAATAGATGCAAAAACATACAATCGGTTGATAACTTGAAATATTCAGCGGTATTCATAGATAACCATCTAAGGTGGAAATTGCACATTGAAAATTTGATAAGAAAATTTAAATACCTTATTCCGAAAATCAAATAGCAGTTGTACAAGCGAACAATATTATAAAAAAATTAAATTACGTAGAAGTAGATTTTGAAGGTTATGTTGAACAAAAATAAATGTTATACCACAGAAAATATTTCAGTGAATCTCAGCTTTTCGGCTGCCGTCAAATATATCTTTATCATACAATAAAATATTCAACAAAACATCCAACCATCAAACGCGATTCAAGGAAACATCTGCACTAATCCTGGACTAAATAAAACTATCAGCCAAGGATCATTCTACTTTCTATGCTAAAAATTTTATGTTATTGATGCAAACTTTAAACATATAAAATGTAGTAAATGTTTAAAGATTGAATTAAAGTTATGGATCCTGAATCAACCAATGACACAAATCCATAATTTTGTAGAGATTAATTATCAATATTGTATTTGATAATAATTGATGAAAATTTATGTTTGACTAGTATATTTATAGGAAATTTGTTGTATTAATATAATTCAAGTGTTCGGTTAAAACCCAAGCACAAGTGTACACTTTTTTGGGTATATGTATTATATTTATTGGACACTGCCGTTTTTATTTATACGAAAACTTTGTAGTTAGACCAATAAACATTATTATTATCTGTGCATGAGCCGGAAAGGGCTGCAAAGGGCGCCATCTGTGGAATAGTGTCGCGATCTCAAGGTCGGCAAATAAGCAAGTCAAATTTGATCTAGACACCTGTTGAACGTTTGCAAGGTGCGAGCATTTCGCATGGGGATCAAGCAAATTGAATACGTTCGTTAATTCAACTTATGTACTAGCGTTTCTAAAAAGCATTGAACACAGACAATTGTGTGACATATTCACACCTCACGTAACGGTCGTGGTTCATGAGATATAAATGACCTGTACAATAGAAAAAATTGATTATACCAACTACTCACAGGCCTCGTAGAATATACGAGTATACAAAGAACAAAAGCACGCAATTACCAAGTAGTTAAGTTCGGAATAAGTTACAATATTGAGCACGAAATCATAAACAAACAATATAAATGGTATCACAGTTTGATGAAAATAACATAGGATATGAGTTTCATGTGACACATCGACGATAATTCTAAAATTAAATCGCTAATTCGTTAACGCCTATTGCAAGATATTTCCTGGACTGAAGATATTAATTGTAAAAGTATATACAGGGTTATTCGAAAAACAGGGCTGTGGCAATATTTGCAAAACGGTAAGTAGCTCAAAAAAAGCAAGGAAAATTCATCATGGGTCCTAAAATGCTCTCTAATCGACCAAAAATTTTGTACATATAATAACAGCTATACAATATACAAGCTGGGGGGGCTTAAAAACTCTGATATTTTGCTACTTACAGATAAAAAAAGGAAAATATTTCCTACGTGAAAGCCTCTCTTTTTGAAGAAACATTGGTTCGAATATTTGAGGTAAACTAAATACAAAAAACTCTACTTTGAAAGTATGCAGGAGTTGGTGAAGTTTAACATTATATTTGGGAGCTTCGGTAGCTCGGTGGTCTGCGCGTCGAGCTAGCAACCTGCCAGGGGTATTGCGAATCTTGAAAAGTGACAATGTCTGTTTTTTTTTGACATTATGCAGGTTTTTCTACAAGATGTCAATTCAGAACTAGTTGTTGTTCACTTGATGAACACTCGTTTTGTAGTTGTACGTGTTGCCTAAACGTCATGATGCTTCAGCTGTCAATTTTTGGTTTTGATGTGCTGTAACATCTGTTTCAGAGATAGCATTATTGGAGGTGTAAGTTAGATAATGTATACTATAGCTGGAAGGAAATGGCAGTGCATATGTGCATAGTGAGGACTTTGTGCCAATAATATATTGGTGACGGTTCCATTTACTTGCGATGCATGAATCTCATCAGTGGCATATAAAGTTACAACACCCTGTACCCAAATAACTTGCCATGTCAGGACTTACGCCTATATGGACTTTTTATGTTATTTGTGGACGTACTTTTTGCTATAAGAATATTACCATTGCTTTTCGAATCACGCTGTATTGTCTCCTACAGCACTGAGAATAGCTCAGCAGTCGGACGGCCACTTAATAACATAAATGGTTATTGTTATTATATGAATTAGAATGTTTAAGCGGAGGCATATTTTGTTGTAATTATGATGTTTCAAAGGATTTTATGATGTTGAATAATTGATTTTTTTTCAGCTCATGATGCTTAAAAAATTATTGTCCTCACTACCGGTTTATTCTTAATGCTGTGGTCTTTAGAAATTGTTCCTATAAAACTCTTTCCACAAAATATCCACTATTTGGTCTGATGAGAGGTGTATTTCAGTTACAACATGTTTTCAAATAATGGATAACACTTTTATGAACTGAACATGTTAGCTTATGTTGTTATATAAGCGCGATTTTAGTGTTCATCGTGCGGAGGATCTATCATTTAACCAATATGACAAAAAAGAGTGTCCAAGAGAACAAGAGAAACTTGAGGATACTTTATGGAAAGTCAAATAAAATCATGATATTTATTGCTATAGACAATATAGATATCTAAGTGGATATAATGCACAAATAAAAGTGGGATTTGCTACCGGTCTGTTCGTATGATGCAAAATGGAAATTCGATTAACGACACAACCGCGATATACGAATATTTTAAACAAAAACGAAAAACTCGAAAAAGCAATTTATATTTCAAACCTACCGCTCCTCGACATCAAGGTGCATCTCTTTCTCTCCATCTCTCCCGTCCTAATAAATGCAATTATGACAACTTACAGAGTAAAATATTACATAAGTGGTCCTAACAGTCAAAATACGCGCGTATAGGATTATTTGAAGTGTCTAGTCTTTAGTTGTATTGAGGATGGAAGCACGTCACGAGCAAAATGTGCTGCAAGTGCACAATCTTGCATACAGTGAACTAAGTATAAATCAGCTCGGACAGCAGATGTCAGGTTATTATCGTTTATTATAATTTTTTGCATAAATCTTTTATGAATTTTCATAAAAATGCAATTTGGTGGAGCTGAATTAAAATTGTTAAAAATAATGTTGCCATTCAGTAAGGCAATCGAGTTTTCTAAAAATTTTGCTTCAACAAAATATCAATTACCGTCAAACTATCATCAACTATATTCTGTGTGTTTCTTATTTCTTTATATGAACGACGAGTAGCTGCAAATTTCGCGCCAAAGCTGTGACTTAATAGAGTTTTGGAACACCTGAAACTTATCTTGCAGTTTTCATTGGCAATCACAGATACCACATACGTAAACACCATTTGACATTTATCTATTACAAATCATTAGATTAAGTGTCAAAATAGCAGACGCTATCGTTTGCGAATTCAGTATTTCGCAATACTCTCTAATTAGATTTTAGAGTGACGCAATAACTTTTCCACGCTCTTGTCTAAGCATGTCACTTAACTTCTACCATAGAGGATGGCTTTCTGTCACATGTAAGTAAAATAACCTTTATCCTCTGACGTTGATAGTTTGACAGAATATGTCCTCAAAATGAGTTTATGCGCATATTATTATTTCATGACTGTATAAAAACGGTTGTATCATTTGTTCTGTAATCATATAGCAACCAACTATTTTAGTAGTTGTTAGATTTTTTAAGACTCTCGTCTGTCGCCGGAAACATGATTTGCTTGAACACTTCCAGATTGACTGAATTTTAGTAACCTGCATTTCAATTTTTGTTCTGCCAATGCTCCAATTCGTATTTAGTAAAAACAACAAATGAGCTAGGGTACGCAAAACTGCACATTTCAAGCACAGGTTATGCATCAGTTGAACTTTTGTCACTATCCGTACATATCGAAGGAAATGGAATACCCTAGATCAGTAGATTCGTGTACGAATGAAACTTGCAGCACATTTCCCCGCGACGACCGTCACGCAACACTTTACCTGAACACGACATTGACAACGTCCTTGATAGTGTTATTGACCTCATTGATAGACCTGGAGTTTTCGGTGGAGTTCCTCGTTCCGGCCGACCTTAACTGCCTCGCTTGGCTCTCTAACCTCGTGAGCAACTCGCGAAAATGGAACTTTGCGTGAGCGGGAACGACGTTGTCCGCGTAGTCCATGCAAGACCCGTGTAGCATACCGATTTTGTCCGAGAGCTGCAACCAAGTCGCCGTGCTGACCGTCGCGTTGCTCTTGATGCCGTTCAAGGTGGTTTCTAAAGCTTGGGAGATCTCCAAGATGTTGTCCTTGCTGCCTTTCTTGTCTCCTATCGCGACCTTAGGATCCTCTTCTGGCGTTTTGTTTTCTATGTTGGTCGGCTTCGCCATTATTGGAGGTTTAGATTGACTACCGTTGCTCGCTATGGGCGTGGCGTAAATCGCTGAACCTGCAGGTCTGCTTATTATAGGCTTAACAGCTTTGACAGGAGGTTTCGTTGGTATGACAGGTTTGTCTTCCTTCTCTTGAGGCGGCCACGTCTTTTTATCGCTTTTATTCGATTTGTCTAACTTTATCGATTCATCGGAGGTTTCTATAGAGTTCGTCTCTACTATCTCTTCGCTCTTGGTGTTTTTTATGCATAACTTAGGACTTAACTGAACGCTGGAGCTATTCTCGGGCTCCCAAAATTTCTTGAGACTACTTATACTCCCGGTGCTTTTTCTTTTGTCATCACAGTCATCCGTTTTCAAGTTTCCGCTGTCGGAACTCGCAGTGCTTTCGCGTTTGTTAGTGTCAGATTCTTCTTCAGTCTTATCGTCTTTCTCTACTTTCCTTAAACGGGACTTGAAGTCTATGATGACGGGAGCGTCTTCGGTTTTTTCTTTGGCGACCTTCTTTGTCTCCACCTTTTTCAGTTTGCTTCTGGTCCCTTCCTTTTCCACGTTGAGAGCCTGAGACAGTTCAGTGACCAATTGGGAAACGGGGTCGTGGCAAATGCCACTCACAGCCAATGCGGGTTCAGGTGAAGATTCCTTCTTGCCCAATTTCTGATCTGCTCGCTCTTTGATTTCGGCCACGAGTTTTAATTCCATTTCTTTCATTACCAGCTTCTTTCTGAACACTTTTGAGGTTTTATTGTCTTCAGAGTCTGGATCGTCTGCCTCTGGAAAACGAAAAATGTTAGAATGTATATGTGGAATCTCTCAAATCGAAGTATGTGAAGCGTGAAAAACGTGTGAAAATTATGATACGGGTACCGCGACATGCCATGCACGAATTGTAAAAAAGGAACGGTATTAAACAAAATTATTATTATATTAAATAATAATTATGATTGAGTAAAACTCCTTCCATGCTCTAGCTCCCAAAACACAATTTCCAAATTGACTTTGACCGTTATTGAGATACAAACTACCGGAGGAGAGCCGATTATGTTTTTTGCCGAAGTCCAGCCCGGTCGCAGAAATTCTCTATTATACTAAGGATTTGTAATAACGAATAAGGATTACTTTTGAGGTTATATACAATGTTACAGAACGTCTTGAAAATTTAAAGGCAAATCCAGGGCATATGATGGATCCAGAAATTCTCTGTTTAGCGAAAACTTGTATGCCAGTTTTTCTTTGCAAATCAAACTGCGTTTGCTCAAAGCGACATTTATTCTGCTTGTAAAGTGTCTCTTGAAGCTTTATGTCACTAATTTTTATTTTAAATTAAAAAAAAAACATGTCACGGTTTTCAAGAGTAATCTGGTACGGTAATGGTACAGTAGAACTACTCCTAACTGAAGCAGCAAAAAAACTGGAGCCGTCAAAAAGAAGTTGGTTTCTTTTTTAAATTGGAATTAAATCTACACTCTTCAATAATATATAACACTCGATACTTTATTCAAAAGAATACACCTTCCAGACTGAAGTAATGGCCATACAAGTCTGCGTAAAAGAGCTAATAAGGAATGAGACTGCAGAAACAAGGTAACATTGCTCCGAGTACCAAGACATGAAAGGTCACAAAGACACAAAGGCGGATAAGCTAGCCCGACAGGGTGCGGCCAATAGCCTTATAGGTCCACAGCCTTTCTGTGGCGTGACGAGAACTCGCACTGAACAGTCAATAAGAAATTGGACCAAGAAAAAGTCAAGAGAATGGCGTAACATCCAATTGGGGCAAAGGCAGGCAAAAGAGTTCATCAAAGAACGAAGGCCCGTATTTACAGAGCACCTACTCGGATTTAATAGGAAGGCCATAAGGGCCCTAGTGAGTCTCCTGACAGGACAGTCATCTAAATCGACATATGAGATTTTTGGGTCTGGCCGAAGAGGCCACATGCCGTTTCTGCAGAGAGCATGAGAAAACCCCAGTGCATCTCTTGTGTCACTGTGAAAGCGTGGCAAGGCTACGGTTTCAGATAGTGGGAATCACAGGTCCAACAGCGGAAAGCTACATGCAAGGCCCTATAGGGGGGTCACAATAGATCCACTTGGCCACCATACATTTGTCCCCCTGTAGCGCTTTTTATGTACGAACAACAAAAAATGAACGTAACCAGTTATAAAACAATAACAACCAAAATATCATATTCACAAATAACCATGCAGTACTCTTCAACGATGTCGGTGTGAAAAGTTTGATTATCAGGAATCCTTGACATAGTCGTACTTTTAAATTGAACACATAGCCAATTACCACGATATGGAATTCTGCAGTCCTTTGAGCAATGCTATACCCACTTATCTAAATGGAATATCATACATGTTTGTGGTTCCGATTTTTTTGCCGTTTCAATTGGAATTAGAACTACTATAAAAAAAGTCCCCTTTTTTTCGCTAAACATATGAGACTTTTCGGCTCGAACGCAAAGTTTTGTAAATGCTAATGTGACCATTTATAGTATAATTGCCTGTCAAAGCTTATCACAATATCTGGAGTGTTTTCAAGAAATGTAATCCTAATCTTTTGTGCTTACTTAAACGCGTCGAATCTGCACTTCCATTTTAATGACAGTATACTCTGTAACACATCGTATAACAAGACAGCATGCCTCGTACCCATCGAGTGGATAAATTAAAAGAAAGTGAAGCAGTTGTTCGTGAACTCTAACTCACCTACTACTAGAAATCCTTGTTGACTAACAAAAAATGAGATAATGATACTATTAAATTTCGAAATGATCGAATGATTTGAGAGATTATGAAAAGAAATGTGAACTACAGCTAACTACATAATAACTGGTCATATGCCTCATGACAAACTACATGTATGTTCTTACTTTTTTCGAACATGTAATTCAGAAAACAATTTTTTAATTTAAGCCTATAAAGATTTCTCAAAATCTAGATCATCATTGAATGAATTAATCACCATTGTAACAATAGGGTCTTAAGTTGTCCCTAGGAGTGGACATCCCTAAAGGGATTTATGACTAACCTTGTCCCTTATTAATAATTATGATGATGGAGAGATGTATAGAGAAAATAAATTTCATCCGTAGCACTGTATTAATGTGAGTTCATAAAGATGTTCTCGGAGTTCTAATGGTCATTAAAAATGTTTGATTTCCTTCTAGACAATGTCAGTGGTTATAATTTGTGGAAAAAAGGGTATTCAGATGAAAAATATTCTACTATGCATCAATTTGTGTTTTAATTTTTTCGTAATATTTTTTAGCATCCGCAAACAATTTAAATTCTCTGCTGTCAGCTTAAACCTCAAGATATTCTTAACTATGGAATCCTGGCACAACCAGCTTTTTGGTGTCTGATCACAATTCCAGGTGTACATTTTTCTGTTTCTCATTAGCAGCTAAATATAAAAGAACGCTTGAGTAAACATTTACTAAGAAATAAATAAGTGACGCTTCTGATGTTGAATTGCTTGGAAACTTTGATATTAATTGGTATATGTTTTCGTTATTTAGTTTTTGAATCTTTGAAACATTATTTTATATATTATTTTGGAAATAAGGAAATTGAAATAAAATTGTCAGAGGTATATGATCAACTATTTTAACGCAAACGGTCGCTCACCATTTTCGGAAAGTGTAGGCGGAGGCAACGGTTCCGATGGTGATCCCAACGCATCCGAATCCGCGCTAATCGGACTCTTTCCTTCCTGACTGGGACTGGTCAAGCTTAAGCTGACCCTTTGAGGGCTGCGCTCCTTGTCATCTTCCCCCTTCGGGTCTTTGGCGCTGCTTCCGCTGTCTGTACTTGGTTCCCTCTGTAAAACAAAATTAAGGGGTACGTACTACACTACGCTTTTAGTACTGTAGATGCTGATACTTTGGCACTTTTAGAAGATGCATGTGGAATATGGTTGTTACTACTTTGGCAGAGCAGCTTAGGCAATGTGGAGAATCTCAATCTTAATATACATTGTCAAACCAAAAATTGTTATAACCATTTATCACTATTCTTACCTTCTTCAAGCTAACTCCAAATCTGGAACTGGCCTCCTCGACCGAAGGCTGCAACGTACTGACATCCGCCGCCCCATCGACGTTCGCGTCCGGTTCCCTGCTCGGCTCCCTGGTGATCTTCTTCGTGGTGAGTGGAGATATGGGGATGATCCGTTTCTTCAGCTCCTGCGAGGAGGTCATGATGGATGTGCTGCAGTCTACTTGGTCCACTCCGGAGCAGTTGTCGAACTCTTCCGGGGGTGGCGGCAGGTCCGTCGGAGGCGGCGGGAACTCGAGGTCGGCCAGCGTCGGTTGCGCCGACCTGCAATTCCTAAAGGTCACCGGTCAATGTATAAGCGGTATACACTATCGTTCAAAAGTATTTGAACACCTGCACACCATATTTCCATTTAAAATCATAACAAACAAAAAAAAACTATTCAGTACCCATTTATTTTTCTTTATTTCTTGAAAACCATCACCATGGAAATCAAGCATCACTGAAAGGTCATTGAAATAAAAATTTTGCTCACACTATTATTGGGATTTCATCATTAGCTATCAACGAATTTCTTTGCCTAGAATATTGTTTTATGATTTGTTTTCCGATTATTTCTTTTAATTTGTGTTGTACGTAAACCAATAACACAGTTTTATTGATTGTTCAACAAGTGCGTTGACGTTTATTTTTTTTTCTGGACAAAATGGGTAAAACTAGAGAATATTCCGAGGAGATACGAGGAGTTACTATAAATCCGCCAAAAGTATTTGAGAAATTTCTAAACTTCAGAAGGTACCAGTATCATCTGTACACTACATTATTAAGTACTTTAAGGCTCAAGGTACAACATGCAATAGCCGTCCTGCAGGGAGACCCAGCGTTACAACTTTCACTGAAAACTTAAACGCAACATCCGAAATAGCAGCGGACTTGAATGTGGGCCGTAATAAACCTAAGTGAGACTACGGTTAAGAAAAGGTTCCTCGAAGCTGGACTTAGGGATGCATAGCAGTATCGAAACCACTCCTCAGGAATACTGAGAAAAAAAAGAGACTGAATTGGGCCAAGCAACATCAAAATTGGACAGTTACTCACTGGAAGAAGGTCCTCTGGAGCGATGAATCGAAATTTGAAGTTTTTGGTTCGAAGAGAAGAGTATTTTCCGCCCTAGACTTAACGAGAGGGCAATCGAATCATGCATCGTCGCTTCAGTCAAGCACGGTCGAGGCTCTAGAATAATTTGGGGCTGTTTTGGTGGTTCCTCTCTGGGGGATATTGTGAGAGTACAGGGAATACTGAATAAACAAGGTTAAAAAACCATGTTGTGCCTTCTGGGACTCGTCTTATTGGTCCGGGGCTTGTCTTTCACACCATCCAAGCTATGTAAACAATTTTTGGAAGCAAAAGAAGAACAAAATATTTTGGAAGTTGAACTGTCCTTATCGAGATATAAGACGAATGGAGAAAAATAACCCCATCCACTTTAGAAAAATTAGTTACGCGTTGACCCATCAGTTGCCAGGCTGTAAATTAAAAGTAAAGAAGGACATATCGATGAATAAAAAATATGATTATTTTGATTATAAATAGTTGTATGTTGTTAACAATTGAGAAAATAAATGTTCCGTGCAGATATTGTAAAGTTTTCTTCAATAACTTCCATCACTTGTTTTCTGGTTGTTCAAATACTTTTCAACGGTAGTGTACCTGCATTTTATTGACAGCAACAAAACCACTACTAGAGCGCCTCTGCACGTGGAGACCGGGACCTGTGCGATACTCAAATTCAAATTTAAAATAATGTGAAAAAGCAAAAAGAGGCATAACGCACATGTCATTTATTAGGGTGCGTTTGTAAATCACACGGCAATCTAATACCGTACACAGTAATGGAACGTAAATTGACAGATGAAACTGTGCTCTGGAATATCGCGACACTTTATTTTTAGTACGCCAAAAATAATAAAAAGAGTCATGACAGCCGAACTTCTAACCACGTTTCTTTTCTGACCATTTTACTTATAAGAAACGCTATGGTTGCGGGGCACTATAATATATATTCTGCCAATGTTGAGGACTCTCTAATAACCAAATATTCCTATATAATACCTCGAAGGACTGCCTCCCCTAAATGCACCACTCTGATTTCCCTTGAAACTTCGCAAACTGCTCCTCACGTCCGAGTTATTTCTCGTCATATTTCGATTCCTTCCTAATTTTGTCGACGTCGGCGAACTAGGCGGATGAACCGAATGGAAGGTAGTCACACCGCTCGATGAATTGCTTCTTATCATTTGCGGTTGAGTTCGAATATTTGTTCTTGGAGACAAAGACCTAGAAATAACGACAAATTGTTGATATGTGTGAAGCATGCACACATATTTTAACAAACAGAAAAATGAAGCGTAGGTGTTACCTTCACGGAGTAAGTTTCATAATCAGTATGTAAACTAGGGTGTCCCAAACAAATGAAAGTTCTTTTTTTCAAAGAAAATTTGTTTGCCCTAGGCTGGGACAGCCTAATGTATACACTCTTTATTTTATTAATGACATTTCTGTTTGTTTTGAAAACAGTGAATTTATGTTATTCGCGGACGATTTAAAATTTTATCGAGAGGTCGGTTCTGAGCAGGATTTGATTTTGTTGCAAATTGACTTCAATAGGCTTAATAATGATTTATCATTAAATACTGGTAAACGCAACCACATTAATTTTTACAAAAGGCATAACAAGGTAGTAGATCAAATGAGCAGTAGTTCAAATGTACCAGTAGTTTCGATAGATTTGCCCCGCTTCTTTTCGTTAGGTTTGTCCGAATTCTTTTTGTTAGGTTTGTCTCACTATTTCATTAGGTTTGTCCCATTTTTTTGGTTAGATTTGTCCCACTTTTTCTTTAGGTTTGTCCCACTTTTTCGTTAGCCTTGTCCCACTTTTGTCATTAGGTCACACATCTTTTGGTGAGTAGTTCAAATGACCAGTAGTTAAATTGTTCAGAAGTTCAAATGTACAAGTACTTCAAATAACCAGTAGTTCTGTTAGGTTTGTCCTACTTTTTTTTCGTCAGGTCTGTCACTCTTTTCTCCTTAGGTTTGTCCCACTTTTTTTTCGTTAGTGCAATGTCATAAAAGATCTTGGTATACTTTTTGATGAACAACTAAGTTTCACTGTATATGACATTATAATATCGATGGTATATTTCCAAAAGGTTAAACAGACCAACCAAATTTTACAAAACTGAGTTTGTCATACCAAGTGATAGAGGAAGTCAAAATCTATGATACAGCAAAAAGTCGAATGGCTGTGAAGTCACTTAATGCTACAAAATATAATAATTGTGATTTTGTTGTGATATGCCAAATGGAAGAACGGTTTCGATTATTGCGCCAAAAAGACGAACGTCCAAAGCAAATTCCCGCGCAATTTCAGTTCGTTGATTACGTTTGGTCAAATAACGTGACGTCCTCCATGTTTATTTCGTTTTTTTAGCAGATAAAATTGTCATCAATTGGATTGTTTCGTGAGTGTCAGGCTTAGGCCGCACTGACGGTTTTTCCAGCGACTGGTTTTAAAACCGCGACTTGTTACAGAATGCCTAGCGGGTAAAAACCGCGCCAAAATTTGTAGTTCATAGAACTTATATTTGACATTTGACGCGGCAACCGTGCGCGGTACTGTCATTCTTCGGGACACCGTCATGAAGAACCGGACATGCATTATGTTATCATGGGCATTACCAATATTTTATCCGTCCACTGCATCATGGAAGGGCTTAATCTCCATTTTTTTCCATGAGAGCGTTTGATCTGCCGGTACCAGGTTAGTTTGGAGTCTAGTATTACCCCCAGGCATTTGACTTCCTCCAACAGTTGTAACTGTTTTTCCAGAAGGTATCGGGGTCCTAACCCCTCCGATTTCTTTCTTATGGTGAAAGCAACTATGTCTTAGAGGGACTTTCTTGCTCTGGAGGCTATTTCTTTCCTTTTTCCAATGTCATACTTGGTTAATTAGGCCACAGTAGTAATGTAACAAGCTGTATGATCCCCTTTCAAAAAAGGCATTAGAGTTCATGGAAAGACTATTGTTGAGCGCCATTCTCTGTCCGGAGTTCAATGCAAATCAAAGATACTTAAATTCCGCAGATGATTCCTAGACTTGCCTCTAGACGGGCACTTACCAACTACTGGCTTATCCAAGAGATGCCCAGTAAAAGTTAACCAAATAATAAGAATAAACAATTAATTGAAAATGGGGGGTTAGGGTGGGGGGTTGCTAGACACATGCAATCTTAACGAAAATATAAGTTCTTCCACAGGTGACGGATCCAGTGGGACATTTTGAGGAGGGGGGACTTCTGGGAGCGATTGTTCTTGTGACCGTGTGACGACGGAAAAACGGGGGGGGAGGTTACCGACTATTGAAAATTGAAAAACGGGAGAACAATAATTTTCTGCGTCTTTACCTTTCCCCAGTAATCGTAGATCTAGCAACACAGTGTCAAAAGTGTTAGGATGGGATGTAGTTGATATAAACGCCATTTTGTTTAAAGTACAGAACTTCCGCTGAACCTCGTTTCCGTTCCGATAGTAGTTGAAAAATTTCTCAGATGTTTTCTTAAATCTTGATGCTTTTTATGAAAGATACCTTTTTTAAATCTTCTACTACTCAGTGGATGGACCCAATATTTGCGAAATGTTTAATGACGTTTTCTTTACCTACTTCTTAGTATTAGAGCAACAACACACCTCTTGAAATGCATCTTCAAACTGTGAAAATCGTGTCCAGTTTCGCGGTTTTTAACCGTAGTGTGTGCGTCTAAGCCTTACTTAGGGAGTTATTTATGAGCCTATGGATTAAGTTGTTTAAGAACATTAGATTAAAATGAGTTCGAGGCAAGAAATGTGTTGAAATGGCCAAGAAGCTGGTATTCTCAGAAAATGTTGAAATGGATATAGATACTCTGCCACTAGAGTTTCTTAATTAATGACGATCAAGTATTTCATAACAATCTGAATAATAATAATAATTATCATCATCATTATATATTTTAGTGGAGCTACTTATAAATGCCGATGATGAAATATTATTGATTCGACATTATTTTTAGCACGATAATATTTAAAACCAAGACTGTAGGGGTCTGAATAAAGTATGAAGAGAAACTTCGAGGCTTTGTTCCTGAGTTAATTTAAAGTCTGGTTTTCGGTTTGCTCGTCCTTTTGGAACTATACCATTTCGACCAAACAATTTAAGTATCTTTTATGTTTCTGATATGATTCTCTACGCATTTCTGTTCTTCAGTGAAACACGTAAAAAAGGTATCGAGAAACGAGTCAAGTATATTTTTTGAGTGACTCACCTTGGTGTCACCTCGCTATGTTCCGTGGTATGCGGTTGAGGTGTTTCCTCATTGCCAGACATGTTGTTCTGCCTCAGAGATTCTAAATATGCTCCGATACGGGCCCCTTTAGGTAAAGTACCATACCTACTTATAGCTTTTCGGACATTTTGAACCTCCAAAGCAGCTACCTGCACCTAGAATATGGTATCATTTTTGTTGCAAGAATCAATATCCATACCGCCGACTCAAAAAGGAAATAGATTTAATAGCGAAAATACATTTGTATCAGTTTGCCGCTGCAGACTGATATTCAGTTGATTTGTTTGAGCCATAGGTTCCACAGCATGTTGTTCTCTATATTAATAATTAATAATAATCAAGATACATGGTTTTTTATAAAATGTTTTTTTGGCAGTCGCACGAATATTAACAAAAAATATTCGCCACTAACTTTCAACAATGACAAATATTTTTTCGGATTAAGCAGCTACTGAAATTAGTTTATTGTCTCCTGGTATACTTTCGAATCTTCATCTATTTATCAAAAAATAAAACCCTATTACATGTCGAAAAATTGTCATGATAAAATCAGAGTAGGACGCACAATTTTATGCAAAGCATTATTATTATTTTATATTTCATCAAAAAAATTTCACATAAAAAAATATAAATTTGTATCGTAAAAGAATAACATACCGCCGGCGATTCCTTTTTGCCTTTTTTGCCTCGTTGCTCGAGGCCTCTGTTGCCCATTATAGGAGCCCTTTTGAAGGAGCTAGTGCTGGTTCCGAACCCACTGGATGCCTCCGGGTACGAATACGCCCCTGAATCGTCGGTATCAGGGGTTTGGTCATGGAGATCACTCTCGCTATCACATTTGGTCGAGGCTGTCAATGGGTGGATGTTAGAGGCCATGCCTGCAGGAGGAACAATCTGTTAACTGTTAACTATTCAACGAAAAAATACACTTTTTATCTAAAAGACATAAGGGTGTTCGAAAAATAAACGGAGATAGTTTAGAGGGTGATTTCTTGTTGAAATATATGAAAAAAAGTTTCTATAAACGTGGCTACGAAAGATGGACAGATGAATGTATTTTTTTTATTAATATGCTTAAACATATTTACTGATTCTATTGAAATTTGGCAATATTATTCCTTGTAGTAAGCTACAAGGGACTTGTGATTTTTTGAGCAAAAACTAATAAACCCATTTTGACCAGTGACATGCAATAAAATGATTTCTTTTCTCCAAAACGAAGTGAGATACGAAAAAAATGTAAGAGGCAAAGAAGTTGTATTTTTAGATGCTTAATCAAACAACAAATATTAAACTTACAAAAAAGGCAATTGCATACATTTTTTGCCAATAATATTCGCTAAGATGCCCCCCAGAACACCACTGGACCTAATAATTTTAATCTATTTAGGGTTAAATTAGCCAACAAATAATTTTTGAAGATATTATTAAAAAAACGTTTTTTTTTTAATTTATTATCATGTATCTTGAAAACTCTGCATTTCCGGACCCATGTTTATAGACACTTTTTTCATATTTTTTTCAACAAGGAATAACCCTTTAAAATATCTCCGTCTATTTTTCGAACACCCTGTATTTGGTTGACCTAGTTAATCAAACTACTTTTGATATAATTTTTTTTATTGTAAATATTTGTAGATATTTTTAACGAGTCATTTTCAATATTGTAAACAATTGCCTAGTGGAATCAATGAATTTTGAGTACGGTACTGTGTTAAAACGAGCTCGTCGTTTACTACGAGAAAAGTTTCTGTGTAAAGCTCCTAAGTAGACTTGCACTGGGATACGTTGATTAGTCCTATGCCGCCTTCATTGCGGGGCAGGTAGAGCCGCTGCACAGCAGAGTTAGGATGGAGCATACGCAACTTTGTCATGGACCTCCTTGTTAGCCTGTCCAGTTCTTCCAGATCGGTGTTGCTCCATTTAACGACACCAAAAGAATAAATTACGGCTGGGACTGCCCATGCATTAATGGCTGATATCATATTTTCGGAATTCAGCTTGGTGTTTAGCAGCTTTACAAGGCGTTTTCTATACTTCTCCATTAATTCCTTCTTGATTTCGCTGTGATTCAGTCCCAGTTGCTGAGTGAGCCCTAGGTATTTATACGAATCGCCTTCAGCCAATTCCTCGATGTCATTTATTATCTCACCCATATTAATGATGCGTCCTGTGCTGGCATTAACAGTTGCGCTCTTTGTATTTTGGGGGAAAATAAACGAATACTACTACTACTATTTTTCTATATCTAATTCCATGCATATGCTGTTACTAAATCATTAATAGTAATCAACGAAGTTTGCTGCTTTGACTCTGCGAGCAATTTGATGTCATCCATCTAAAACATACGGTTAATTCTGACTTCACTGTTCTTCTTGATTCTGTATCTCACGTTGCTGATGTCAAGTAGCGTCGAGAGGGGGCTTAAGGCTAAACAGAACCCGGTTGGGCTCAATGAATCGCCTTGGAAGATCCCTCTGGATATGTTCAATTTGCCTATCATCTTGCCGTTGATACTAAGTTCTGTCTTAAATAGTTCCAGCACCTTGTGTAGCCAGTTTATGAGGTACAAAATCAAATGCCTTCGTGAAATCGATATAGCATGCATGAAAGTTCTGGTGGCTTGTTCTCACATGGTGCGTAATCACAGATCCATTATCACTAGCTACTTACATCCTCTAGATCCACGAGCACATCCTTTTTGCAGAGGTGATATTATAACATTAATTTCGCAATGATTGTAAATGCTGTCATTGAGTACTGCCTGTCAGAAGCTTGTATATTACAGACAGGCAAGCAATTGGTCTGCAATTCCTCGAGTCTTTTGTAATTCCCTTTTTGTGCAGCAAGTAGGTAATTCGTATACTAAATTTGTAAGCGATGAAGGGTCTACAAGGATTCTTCGGAAGCATCTAGCTAGTGGCGCATGTGTGGCAGTGAATGACTTATATATTATTATTTGTAAATTATTATTATGCATGCAACGATCATGGTTAATATGTTAGCGACATCACTGTGAATTATTTTTTGTAAGACTGCAGAAGCAAGAAGTTATAATGATAATTGATCAAACAGTGCTTTTTAGTGTCCCCTCCGTGATAATTTCGGAAATTTTTCTGAACAGAATTGGGTGTTCCGAGATACATCATTTTAAAAGTCTGTATGGGTACTTTATAAAAAATAGCAGACTGTCAAAGTGAAGATTTTTTGTATACATAACTAATGATAAAAACCCTATAGTATATCAACTTCTTTTTGGAAGGGTCTAACCAAATAAAAGCGCGAGACATTCCATTTAATATTCAGTGGCAAAATAAAGGCAAAATTGAAAAATTCTATCAAATTTAGCACGTCATTACTTTTTTATTTTCATCTCCATTTTGATGATTCTTCCGGCAGCCGATAGGTACACTCATTGCCTTTAATTTGAGTATCTAATTTCTTGATGATATCAACTGTTTGACTTGTTGAATGGGTCGAAAAACAACAGTGTATATCAAATAGTGAAGACGATTGATGACGGTGATCCAAACTTACACATATGTCCATTACAAGTGTCATAATTCATCAATGAATCTATTTAGGAAAATTAACATCAACAATCTAAGAAAACCTATCTCGGAATTGAAATCTAATAAAAATCCAAGTGAGAATCTCTCAAAAAATATTCTAAATGATTGTTTCAATATAATTGGAGAGAAATTCTTATTATTGGTGAATCAATGTTTAGTACATGGTGAATTTCTATCAAAATTAAAGTATTCCACGATTACTCCTGTGCCAAAAGTTCAACATTCTCAGCTGTATACAAATATGCGACCTATGAATGTCAGATATAGAGAAACTGTTCGAAGGGATAATATACGAAAAAATCATTAAATTCATTGAAGAAACAAAAATTTTACAAAAAATCAAACTGGATTTAGAAAAAAATGTTCTACAGAAACAGCAATCTAAATGGTGGTGGAAGACTGGAGAAGAAGTATAGATGAGAAAACATTGTAACAGTATGTATTGTAACAGTATTTTTAAACTTCAAAAGGGCATTTGAGACTATAGATAGGGAAACATGAAATTGCATCACTATGGCTGTAAAGGATCAGTATTACAAATTTTACAAAATTATTTAGTAAATAGAAGTCAAAAAACTAAAGTTGGAAATATTATGTCAAGCGTTCAAAATATATCAGTAGGGGTGCCACAGGGGAACAAATTAGAGTCGTTACTATTTATTATTTATATAAATGGTATCTCTGACATTTTAGAACACTGAAAAATTCAAATATTTGTGGGCGATACATTGATATATATAGCACATAAGAATTTGGACACTGCTTTAGAACTGTTAAATAGTGATATTAAAACAATTATGAATTGGTTAAATGTCAATAAACTTAAGCACGAATAAAACAAAATGTATGTCAATCATTTAGAACTTAGAAGCACCTTCCATCCAAAACTTCAGAAATGAGATGGAAAAAGTGCTACTACAGCAGCAAAGATTTGAATCCACAAATTAAATTTATAGCGCTTGCTACACTACCCTCCATTATATCGTATTAAATACTGTGTTGTGCATAATATTTGTTGTGAATACTAATCATTCTGTTGATGTTAAAAAACGCTCATGAAGTTAACTTTTTAGGGGGAGGTGAAAAAATGGCCCTGCCAATCCTCTTTCCTTTTGAAATGTTGTCGTTTTTATATTTTTATGTATATAAATTCCAATAAAAATTATTATTATTATTATTATTATAATAGGGAAACATTCAGGTGACAGTACAATTAGGCTCATGATTAATGATGAAAATATTGAAGTATCATTTAAATATCTTGTATATAGTATAATGTTAATAGTTAATAATGTTGATAGTAAATTACTGTTTCACGAGCATAATGAATAAATTATTACAAAAATATCACAAAAAATTACTTCTATAGGTTTCCCATAATCTTAGTATGTATTCCAAAAAAAATGGTGTATAACACTATAATTCTTCCCAATTTTTTTATATCGTTCAACCATCTTGTTTACAGCAAATGAAAATATATTTTCAAAATTACAAATTCTACAAAATAAAGCTATGAGAATCATTTCAAATAAAAACAAATTTCATGTATTATTCAGTTCTCGTTTCCATATTCAAATTATAAAATCATTTATTACCACATTTAGAAAACATCACAAAATTAAATAGTAATTATCATAACTATGAAACTAGAGGCGGTATAGATTTTCATTTGCAAAATTGTAAGAGTAACGTAACTAGGAAATCTATATTTCAAAAGGGAGTATTTGAATTTAATAAATTGAATAATGATATTAAACAGTGTTCGAATTTAAGAATGTTTAAGGTGAAATTAAAAAACCACTTGATGAATAATCAAAATGCATAGTGATGTAATTTTAATAGACAACAATGTAAAATTACAGAAAATGATTGAGGAAAAATATGTAACTGAATCATTATACAAAATTGACATTGTAGCATTAATGTTGAATAAATGTTCAACAAACAAACAAACAAATATCCACTGTTTAACTTGTTGCGTGGGTTGAGAAACAATACAATATTTTAAATTGAAATGCGATATTTATATTCCATATTCGGATAGAACCTTTCAAAAGAACAAGATAGATCTAACATATACTGTAGTGTTTCGATAATTATTTGTCGATATACAAACGAGTAAATGTACGTTCAACAGCTCGTCAGTCCACTATTTTGAAAAAATAGTGACCTCATATGCTAAAATTTCCGAGCATTCGCATGAAGCATCAAAATCATGTAACACATATTGAAATATCCTAATATCAATCTTACAATAAAAGATACAATCTATGTATACTGGGTGTTTTCAAAGTCTAGTCATTTATTTTAACAGCTAGTAGAACTCGTCAAAAGTTGGTATACCAAAAATCACCTATATAAAAGTTGCATAACAACAGAGTTAGTTTACATTATTAAAAATTATTTTAAAAAAAATCAAGTTAAATTGATACTGTTTTTACAAAAACTATTCAATGTTGTACCCGTTTGTTCGATTAACGTAAAATCTTGTTCGGCGAATGCACGACTCTTTACAAGCTTAGAAAATAAAATCCTGGTGTCCACGAATTAAATCACAAGCATTTTCAGTAAGCTGTTGAAGATCTTCCAGAGTATCATGATACAACAACTCTTTCAAATAACCCCAGGGAAAAAAAAACGCGAAGCGTAAAGTCCGGGGAGCGAACAGGCCAAGAAATGGGTCCATAGCGCGCTCTCCATCTATTAGGAATCTCATTATTTAGATATTCCGTATGTCAGTATTAAGTTCACTAGCTCATTGTTTTCGTAAAAATGGTCCATTTTTTTCGCACAAAATAATCAGATAAATGAAAGTATACGCACTATTAAAAGACTGTACAACTGATCGAACCAAAGACTCGTACTGAAAACCATACAATAACACAGTTTGCCAAATTTAGATAAACGATAAGAGCAGTAAAAAGAAACGCTAACATTTTACAAGACAGTGGTCGAGAATATAAAAAAATCTGTGTAGTAGGATTCTTATTTTCTTTTATCTGGTGATTTTTGGTATATCAATTCATTTTGACGAGTCTTATAAGAAGTTGCAATAAATGACTCAACTTTGAAAACATCCAGTATATATAATAATATACGTAGTCGTGCCATAAGTTCTGTCCCATGATAATCTCATGATAAAAATGAAACAAGATAAGATATATTTATATGAAAGATATTATTTATTCGACAACATTTTTAGAATTCATAATCAAACAGTTTTATTCAAAATGTCCCCCCTTGGCCTTCACACACTGCTTCAATCTCGCGGGCCACTCATCTATCACTGCACGCACAGCTTCCAAAGGAATAGCTGCCGCTGATCGGATCAAATCCGCTTTCAGGGACTCGATATTACGGTGGGCTTTGGAGCAGGCCAACTGCTCTAGCAGGTCCCACAACTTGTAGTCTAAAGGATTGAGGTCCGGACTCCCTGAGGGCCAATCTTCCGCAGCAATGAACTCTGGCACATTGCTTTCCAGCCAGCGCTGCGTACTCTTAGCCTTGTGAGCGGGGGCGGAATCCTGCTGGTAGACCCAGTGTTGGTTGGCAAACAATGTACCACTTAAAGGCTTGACGATAGGATCCAGTATGTCGCTCTGATAGTTTGCCGCTTTTGTTTTCACGCCCTGTTTACAGAAATGGAGCTGAGTGACCCCTTCGTAGGACACCCCCCACCAAACCATGACTGACGCAGGGTGGTGGCCTCTCTCAACTCTCGGAATGATCTCCGAAGCTTCCTGTGAACTCCTTGCATACACTTTGTCATTTTGTCGGTTGAATTTTTCTTCTATGGTGAAGATTTTCTCATCCGTGAACAAAATCTTTCGGAATCCCCCAGCTGCGTACCTCTCCAAGAGCTTCTTGGATCTTGTCGCCCTGATGTGTCGCAAGGTGGCCGTAAGTCGCTGGCCCGTACGTCTCCGGTAAGCCCCTAGCCCTAGGTCTTGTTTAATGATGCGCGACATCGTCCGGACAGGAATCTTCATTTCCCTGGATAGGATCTTCTGATTCCGGAGTGGATTCCTTTGAATCCTGGCTTTTACGGCTTTGATGGCTGCTGGAGTCCTTACTTGACGAGGTCTTCCGCTTCTTGGCCTGTCATCAACAGAGGACGTCTCATTGTACCGCTGAATGGTCCTAGACAAAAATTTACGCGATATTTGAAGGCCGCGTAAGAGTTCAAAAATCTGACTAGCACTGTGATTACACTTATGTAAAGCTATCACTGCAATACGGTTCTCTGCCTTGCCCCACTCCATCGTTATGCTTCGAGAGATCAATACAAACTGAGGTATATGTAATTACCCGAAAAGCGCTTAATCAACTGACACCACAATGTAAACAATCGGACAAGTATTAACAGGTCTACACTTGTTTGAAAACGAGGGACAGAACTTATGGCATGACTACGTAATACATTTTATTATCCCCAATCTCGACCTGCTCAATTAGTAAGTAGGAGGGGTGGGGTATCAAAGAAAAGCAATTTGTAACTAGGTAAACTGTTACAATTATTGCAGATCTTAGTAGTCGTCCTTTAATGCAATATTGTATATGTTGATAAGATTTTACTGATTTGAACTGTTGTATTTGATTATAAAAATAATTTTGAACGTTTTGCAATGCCAACCTTGCGGTAATGCATTTATTTGAAGATTAGTACTTCACAATATACGGATTCTCATGCGAACTCTTCGTGCCACACTCGATCTAACTCTAAAATATCTTTTATAAATAATACCGTTTAGGTCGGCCGAGTCCTCGTTGGCTGGTTCGCATTGCCCTTGGTCGTCAAAAGTGCTGTCCCTGAACGAGCTGCAAGACGATAGCAAGCTGGAAATGTCGGAGATAGAAGTCGTGTTAGGGGTTAGTAAATGCACAGAAAAATGGGTAGTGTTTATTATTCAAGTAAACGCACACCGGATATAACGTCAACGGGATACAATATACTATGATCCGTTTGAAAATCGAACGAAAATGTCGCATACGCGTCAAAACTTAGTAACTTAGTCTAATCATATTGGCAAATTTTCCCGAAATAATTGTAAAGTCTGGTTTTATTCGTGCAAGTTGTTCAAGGAGGTAAAACTTTTTATTGGACAACAAAGAATGAGAAAGAATTTTTTTTGGGATTCAATCGAAAGTGTTGAGAGAAACGAAAAAACTTTTCATATAAGATTTTTAGGTATTTATGAGACCTACAAAATGGCCGAAAAACAAGGCAAAATGCAGGTTTTGGCACTTGGTAATGCGACGATAATTTCACACAACTACTTGAAGTCCTTCAAATCCGTAGGATTCATACTTCTAAATAACAACAAAATTGGAGTACATTGGTCAAGTAGTTTTTTCAAGAATTTCTAATTGTTTACCCTAAAACACGTGTTTACCTTTCCGATATGAATCACAAACCATTCCGAAAGATGAATGTTATTTTTATGCGAAAAACAAAGGTTACGTTTTTTGCTTCTAAACAAATTTAATCATTTGTAATTGAACAAATGCGCTCCGATATTCGAAAACACACGTTACTACACACATTTTAAAACAAACCGGATGTGTCGTATCATCTTTTGTTACGAATTACAAATAAGAAATGTTTGAATTCGTTTAGAAGAAAAAACGTAACAATTTCTTTTTTGCATACCGGAATGATTTGCGATTCATATCGGCAAGGCAAACTAGTGTATTTTATGCGACTATGTTTTGAATACTCCCTTGAACAACTTGCAGCAATAAAATCAGACGTTACAATTATTTCGCAAACCAGCGGTATTTTCGTCTAATATGATTCGACTAAACTGGTCAATTCACGTTTATTTATTAAAAATGATTGGAAACAATATACAAAATCAAGAAATGTGTGTGTAGGAGTTATCAAGAGGGGAAAAATTCTATGATAATAAGATCGATAGAATAAAAATAATTCTAAAATGACGTGGAAAACATTAAAGAATATGGTTTCTCTAAACAGAAAGACTGAATTATCTGAAATGCATTTCGAAGATGGGGTAGTGACAGAAAAAATAATCATAGCAGAAAGAGTGAACGCTTAGTTTAAAGACAGTATAAATCAAATAATAAAGACGATCGATGACGGTGATCCGAACTTATGTTGGACGAACTGCAAAATGTTTCATGCTTTGTAATCAAAAAGTAGATACATGCAAAAAACGTATGACTAACCTAGTACGTTTGGGCGGTGCTGGTGCAGTCTTTCCTCTCTTATTTGTCGTCCGTCTCATCTGTACCATACTATTTTTGGCACCTCCGGTGAACGTCGTCAACTTCGTTGACGTACTATTAAAATTATCTGCAAGTGCGAACCAATCGTATTTTTATAAATTAGTCATAGGACTAATACATTAATTTGTTAAGTGAACACGTGTTTTCGCTATACTTTTTTTTGGTTATATTCGAAATCGAAACATACATAATTTGAACACCAGTCAAGTCAAATCTTATAGGAGTTTGATTCCGGCTTTCGGAAACTCCGTTACATTCTCTGTGCGACCACTGATTACCGAGATATCGTTGGTCGATGGCAAAAGGATCCTTTTTCATTCAGTCATGATCACCGCGTCAAATGATCGTATCGAGATTTTAAAAACAGGATATTGGAGCTGCATAAACGAGCTATCTGATAAATATGGTGGCCTAACAAGTTCGTGGTCTAAAAAGAAGCAAAAAATATTCCTTGCGCTGTCTGTTAGAATTGCATGAGAACCGTTGCTCCTAAAATTTTTCGACTAAAATACCTGAAAATTAGAATCCTGAAGCTTGAAAATGTCCTTTTCAAAGTCTAGATATGACCATTTTTCACCGAAAAATAGCTTGTCAAAAAACACCAGATACATTTTGATTTGTTTCTTGCTCCGTAATAATTTTTTTGAGTAATGTAATTTCTAATTGAAAATATGTTTCTGCTCACCTAAACTATTCACATCCATGATGCCTACCAGGCCGTGGATATTCCCGGTACTTCCCGAATGCGACTTCTTGAACGCCATATGCGGGGTTCCCAACGGCAACGGAGGTGGTTCGTTCACTAGCAATTGCTTTTCTACCTCTTCCGTTATGCTGGACTCCTGGAACATGTTCTCCAGCGCGTGATGGATCTCCTTGAAGGTAGGTCGCTCGTGCGCGTGCCACTGCCAACATTGCCGCATCAGCTCGTAGATTTTAGGTGGACAGCCTGGAGGGCACTCCATTCGGTACCTACGAGATACGCCAATATATACTGACATCAGAAGTGTTACACCCAGAAAAAATATTTTTTTCAACATAATGATTATATTTAAAGCATGCTGTGGCTGTGGCAATTTATCTCAACTCCCAGGTTTTCTTCAAAATCACTATTTTCTCATTAAAGAATCTTACTGAAAGTCTTTCACCTATAAGGTAAACAATCCGACACAGTAGACGTTTTTCTTGATATCTCATTTTAGCACATACCAGGTGACCCAATAATAGAGGACGCCGGCTATATCTCAGGAATGGCTTAAACTAGGGCCATCTGTTTAAAAAATTCGTGACAAAAGTGGCCGAGGGAAAATGGCGGAACTAATTATCAGCTTCGGGACGCGATCTCAATTTCAAAAATTCAAACGCCATTATTTTGCAAAAATGCGTAATTAATATACTGCTTTATTAGCTCTATCATGTCGATTGGTTCGTTGTCAAACTTTTTTCTCAATGTCATTTCTCCATATTTTGTTTCGTTTGGGTTAGGGGGAAGGGTCAGAAAAGTAATAAAACTTCTGTTTGGCTCCATCGATTTTCATGATCTTGGTTTCATTCTTAATTGCATTCATATGAGTTTGATTTGACAAATCTTAAGTTGTCAAAAAATCTGTATAGGTCCATATCTCAAATGTGAATTTTTTAAACCAACAAAAACGTTCAAAACGGCTAGTTCCAACTAGAACTCTGATCTTCTAATCTACAGTTTTCAATGGGGAAGTGTTAGATCATGAGTTTAGATACTTCCATAAAGAATATAGGGGATTAAAGTATCTAATGATCATCGTATGTTTTTGCTGAAAACTTACGAGTAATCCTCCTAATATTACTTTAGGGGAATTAACAACCCTCTTGTATTTGCGAGAATTGGACAGTATCATGAAGATATTCGACTATTGCACTCTAGCTGGAGATACCTAGTCGTTCTTACAGATTAACAGTTTCACCCGTGCCTTATGCTAATAAAAAACGTAATTTCTTTTCATCTCGTCCTTTCTTCTATCTTCGAAAGAAGAACTGTTTCATCAACAGACAAGATAGTTTAACAATAGCCCATTGGATAAAAGCATGGATTTTTGCTCGTTGTCTATGAAATCAAAATAAATAGCCGAACAAATAATAAGTCAAACTTATATTACTCACCCTTTCTCTAGCATGTGATAAACATCTGTCAAATCCACACCAGGATAAGGTGACATACCATAAGTGGCGATTTCCCATAGTAGAATTCCAAAAGCCCAAACGTCAGATTTGGTAGAAAATTTGTTATATGCGAGTCCTTCAGGGGCTGTCCATTTTATTGGAAATTTGGCACCGGCATGGGCAGTGTACGTGTCGTCCCTCATCAACCTAAACGAAATACAAAGTTGTTAAATGCGAAAAAGATAAAACAAAAAAACTGGTTACAAAGCTTTTCGATGTAGAAAATTTTAAATCCTCACACTACAAGTCACTGGTAAAAATGCTAGGGAAGCCCGAGTCGGACGTCACTCTCCCCACCACGCTCGGACCCTGTATAAGATCTCATTTTCAATGTAAGTTAATCCCCTGTAATTATTGCAATTATTTCGTGGACCACTTATACTTTTTTGAGTATACGCGAAAAACGGATGTTTCCAATTTTGACATTCAACAAAAAAGTTGCCCAGCAAAATTTGTTATATCCATATGAGACACCTTTTTACGTATCTACAAGAAACTGGTGTCTTTGTAAAACCTGTCGATACATTTTATTCTAATATTTCAGATATCATAATCGAGACTCATCTTTGGTAAGAATAAATCAGTGTATGCAATCTCATCCATTTCCATCTTACCTTGCTAATCCGAAATCGGCAACCTTAACCAAATGATTTTCCCCCACTAGACAATTTCTGGCGGCCAGGTCTCTATGTATAAAACATCTACTTTCTAAATAGTTCATCCCGCTCGCGATCTGCGTAGCGATGTACATCAACACCACCGCGTTGATCTGTTCCTTGTTTCCCGTTCGCAGATAATCCAACAGGTTACCCTTGCTCATGAATTCAGTTATTATGTAGAACGGGGGCTCCCTTGTACAAACACCCATCAACTACGGAAATAGAAAAGAAATATAATCGTAACGCAAGCGCGTTGTATCCATATTACATATACGGCACTGTTTCAACCTTTCGAGAGATTATCAGAACGGTATCCGCTGGGAGGTATTCGAATACGTTGGCCGGGAGCAAAGTGCGCAATGGGGGGAACTAAATCAATCCCCCGCAAGACGCAGACTGCTGTTTGTTTACGATTTATTTAGCGTGATTGCTACAATTACATACATCTTTAAAAAAAATATAACACATATTTAGAAAAACAAAATTTGCAACTCTAAGAATTTCCACTGGCCAGGAGATATTTGTTTAAGTTTCTTTTAAACATCTTTAAATTACAAGTAATAGTAATTATTATTGCTAATTTTTAAATGAAAATCTATATATTTGCTCTTGTATAATAATTGTGGTAATGATTATTCAATTCCATGTAAATGTTGTGGCAAAAGATGATTTTTTGTTTCAAATATAAAAATAAGAACCAAATATGATATGAAATTTTTTATATTCATCCACTGCAATTCTTGTAACATAGATTTTATTTTGGTGTATTTATTTTTATTCAATATTATTCTCATAGCTTTATTTTGTACGGCTTGTAATTTTGAGAATACAACAACAAAATAGTTGAACAACATAGTAAATGCGGTAGAATGATTGTATTATATCATAAACTATTTTTTTTTGATATGTACTAAGGCTGTGAAACCCCTATAGAAGTAATTTATTTATTTTTCTTTAATTCTTGAGATAATGGATTCATAGTGATCCTCAAATTTTAGTTTACTATCAAAATATGTATACCTAAATATTTTACTGATTCAACATTTTCACCATTTAATCTAACTGTTATAGAATTTTCATTCAGGTATTCCCCTATTAGCATACATTTTGTTTTAGAAGCATTCAATTTTAGTTTACATTTAACCAATTTATGATTTTTGCCAAATCAAAATTTATCATTTTTAAAGCAGTGTCTATATTTTTATCTAATATGTATATGAATATATCTGCAAATATCTGCATTTTAGAAAAATCTAAAATATGGCAAATGTCATTAATATATAAAATGAATAGTAATGGACCTAGTTTACTACCTTGTGGTACACCAACAAAAATATCTTTTGAGCTTGATAATGTAGATCCAATTTTGTGTTTTTTTCCACTTCTGTAGAATTTTAAATAAATCATTTAAATCCATAGTGATGCCATTATGTAAGTAATTCATCTCTGTCAACAGTTTTAAATGCCCTTTCAAGTCCAAAAACAGTGTCACTGTATGTTTCCTTACTGTCCATACATCTCCTCCAGTCCTCTAAAACCATTTGTGTTGCCGTTTCAGTTGATTGTTTCTTCCTGAATCTAGCTTGAAATTTGGTTAAAATGTTACTTCCCTCATATATTCGACGATTTGTCCGTAAATAATTTCCTCAAAGACTTTTTCAACATATGGCAGAACATTTATTGGCCGCATATTCGTGTACAACTCAGAATTCTTAACTTTCGAAACAGGAGTTATGGTAGAGCACTTCAGTCTTGTTGGAAATTCGCCATATTTGAAACAGCAATTTATCAGCCAATATCATTAAAACATTCCTTTTAGACAAAATCTCACTCTCATTTTGATTTAATCTTCTTGAGACTTTGGTAACTTGTTTTCTTCTATTTTTTTTTGAAATAGAAAATGGCAAAATTGACTTTTTAAAATATTAAATTGCTTATATCTTGAACCAACTTTAGAGGAAAGTTCACAACCTTTCGTGTTCAAAATCACCAAAACAACCTCATACAAAGTAAAGAAAAAACAATTTTTAGAATTTTTGACGATGATTTTTACGATATTGAAATATTGTTCGCGATCATTCCGTAGACAGAAACTCAAACAGGACCATGCAACACGACTATGGGAACAGTTGTTTCAGTTACTTTTGTTAGTTTTTTCATTTGTTATGCGTTTTGCGTCCTTAGCAAATGTCTCAATGTTTATATTTGCTTTTTAAGTGGACGAATGGTTTCCGTTAATTTTGCTGAATGTCGCACCTCGTCAGCATGTTTACAGTCTTTTAGGGATAAGATCGAAAAAATTGAAAAACCATCGAGATATCTTTGAGGAACATTGTGACTATTACTCTAAATAATTTTCGTGTTTCGCCTGCTAACCTGGACTAGATTCGGATGCTTCATTTCTTTCATTATTGCAGCTTCCTCCAAAAAGTCTTTCAACGCCATGGTATCTTCTTTCAGAGTTTTTACAGCAACAGTCATATTGTACCTGAAAATAAAAACGCCTTATGTAGCCAGATTCAAGATTGTAATATGCTCTGTAACTAACGAGGCTCGTTTCAAAAATAAGGTTCCCAACGCTGTAACTTTGCCTTGCATGATGCTAGGCGAAATCGGGCAACACCGTCGTGCTTGTCAGCTCTCTCGCCATCGATCCCAACAAGAAGCGCCTATTTGCGATGCTCGGTACCGGCCCGACAGCCCTGCGCAATGGAGCTCTTCATCGTCTTCATCATCCGATTTTTGTACGTAAAAACGTTACCACCCTTAGAAAGTCCGCCAGCTGAGTGAAGTATATAGGAAACGTGTATAAGCATTCAACACGCCCTCAAATGGTGAAGAGAGTTCTTTGACGGCCGCATGGACGTCCACGATGAACAACGAAGATCGAGGCCTCGAAGATCGGCGAATTTTCATTCGGGAATATAATTATCTACATAACAATCTATTCAAAAAATATCATGCCCAACTCTGGAACCATCGGTAGTTAAAGAAAATTGCTGAGCTCTATATCCACACTCCAAATTTCTTCGTACAACTTTGTAGCATAAATGGACACATGTTTGGCTTCATCAAATTATTATGATTTATCATTAACAAACCTTTTCCAAACAGCTTCATATACATCTCCATATTGTCCACCGCCTAACTTATGTTTCATCACAATGTCAGTCCTGTCAATTTCCCATTCGTCCGGTTCAGGACTCAAAGGGAATACGGTAGGTTTGTTATGTTTGGGTGCTGGATACAATAACTGTGTAATCAGGCCATCTGATAACATTGAATGGTGATGAACCTGAAAAAAAATGTTTTGTTTCATCATCCGTTCAAAAAAAGAATACAACCGGAAGTTTCAAAGCAGCTACAAGTAATGCAGCTGTTACTAAGAGAAAATGGCGAATACATGCAGATTGAACGAGACCCAGAAGCATTAACTATACCGGATTTTCGGAGTGAATTCAGTGTCATATACCTTTTACCTGAGAGTGTTAGTAATAGCCTTTACCCTGATTGAAAAAAAAAATTGGGGAAAGGTCCAACCGACTGTACAGACAAATGACAAGTACTACTATAATAATGCAACTTCCGGGTACCTCGAAAATTGAAATACGATTTCCTCAAAAAGCGATGATACTTACTAGTTCTGCTAGAGTATTAAATTTACTTTCCGCCGTTACGAAAACTTTTCCTTCTGAATCTTCATTGATTCTATAATGGTACACCCTGCCTTCGTACCTTAACGATATGCTTCTTTGACCCGGACTACTTTCAGACTCCCTTACAAGAAAACTACCATTAATTCCTGAAACAAGAATATATCCATAAAAAAATAAAACGTCGCATACTTTGAAAATTGTCTTTAAATTCACCGGCTAAATAACATCTGTATTGTATATTGGAAAAGACAGATTTAAATAATTTTGGGATTGCATTTTTAAGTAGCCCGCAAATGATTATGTCAAAGATATCGGAACATCATCCAGTAGAGTTTGCATCTTGTTTTACTCAATGTCTTAATTTAAGTAGCATAACAAAAAACAAAGATCCAATCTATCACCATTGGGATTTAGGAGTGAAAATCTAACACAAAAGGATTTAATTTTTAAATTTAATGGATTTATTCGATGTGGCTTTTCCACACTGTATGTTTTCCCTACAGCAGCGTAACGGATAATAAATAAACATGAATTTAGAGCTATTCTAGGAAAATTAAATGACTGCTCCTAGTCATACACATTGCATGTATAATTACGACCAGACACCTGTTCCAAAAAGGTATCAACATAAACTAAAAATAAATGTTAAAATGAAATATGTAAATAGAAAGGCACCGCATCCAATTAGTCTTTACCTGAACTTAAAAGATACTCGGCGGCATTCCTAGCAATGGGTCCGTGATACCAAGAATGCTTCTCCAACGAATTGACCGGAGTCACGTAGTTCGAGGGCACCCATCCGACTTGGTTCGAAGAAGAATGGGCCTCGCACCACTCGCCGCTTTTGTTATAACTCAATATCCTCACTTGCTCGCCTGCAAAGCAAACACAGATGGTTATTTCAAGTATTAGATCCCTTCCCTTGTTTGAGTCAGACATGATGCATTGCTTTAGGGAGAAGGATTATACTTTGAAATTCAGAAAAACGTGGCAATATTCTATTCTACGCCAGAAATTATATCAAACAAATAACAAAAACAGTTCCTATTACACGAGGGTTGTTTCAAAATTAAGGTTTCCACATTTTTTTAGGCACCAGGAATCCTCCGTGGTAGCCGTTTTCGGGGCACCTGGGCGTGACTCATCAAAAAACGACGTGCGACCACGTTGAAACCAATTTTTGACAGTCGCCATCGAAGGAGAAAAGTCACCGAACACAGCATCCAAGCGCTCTTCGATTTTGCTGCGCGATTTCCTTTCGAATCGACCGATTTGCTCTTTATTTAGTTTTTTTAAATCCGCAGACACGCCCGCTTCCACACGCAGTAAGAACAAAACCACTAATCCGATTCGGCTGAAATTTTGACAGTAGCCGCCGTCAAAAAAGTATTACATGCTAGCAATAGTGGCGCCATTGGGCGTAAGGTTAAGTACTTATCGGACCGCCCTCGTAGACAGCGTTTTGCTGTCCTATTTCGATGAATATTTTGATTACATAAAGTGTTAGAAAATATGTAATGTCACTGTTCTGTTCTGCTATCGACGAAACAATTTGTTTTTCTCGTACTCTTCCAATAATCGATTTTCATGATTTGGAAAAGACAGTGGCAGTAAATACAGGGTTCATGTGCTACCAAAGCGGTCCTGATAATGTTAAATACTGCATTTAACATGTAAAGACGAGTAACTAATCGTGATAGCGATGCGAGTGTTTGTTCGAATTATGCGGCCTGGATAAACAAATATTCTATCCTAGATAGACTGGCAACCGGGTAACTAGTAAACGTCACGAATTTTAACGATGAACAATACATTTAAACCTAACCAAATTGTGTTTCGGTAACGTATTTATAGATAACTAGGTTTTTGTACAAATTTTGTACAAATAGGTGGCGCCACCGAGACAAAATAACCAAATTTCCCAAGTATGCAGAAGTTTGTCTCTCCGTTTGACGGATCAGACGTAATGCTGATAAACTAGACAGACATTCACATTTATATACACATACACATCAATATTCGAATATAAAATATTTTATTGAATCTTGAACTCAGCATTGAATAATAATAACGAAAAACGTAAATACATACGACGGGATGATTATTATTTCAATTTCATTGTAAAAAGCTATGTTTACGCCCACATAAAATACGTTTTAAACAGACACCATATGTTTGCATTAAACCCACATGTTACTTGTAACCTTTTGTAAGGTTTTCATATTCGATCAATACCATGCAATCCTCTGTTCGAAAATAAAATATATTTATTAGAGTCAGATTTATACATCTTCCTTGGAAACAATTGATATCAGGTATCTTCTTTCAAAGCATTCATTAGTTGGTTCCCAAATTTCTTAGAAAGAGGAGCATTCGAGGAATAACTGCAAAAAGTTTAAAGAGCCAGACGCAGAACGCGCTCTTAAATCAGTTTATAGATAAAAGTATAACATAAGTGCAGTGTTATCAACACGGAGAAATACTTTATCTTGAGGGATATCACGTTTTCCAGTGAGGCATTGTTACATAATGTGGAATCGAAGGTTTCAGCAGTCGCCAGAAAAGCCTTATCGGATTAGTTCATACAGAGAAAGCCCATGTGCACATACCTAGGCTTTAGCTTGGGGAAATATTAAATTTGATTATAAATTCTCTAAATTCAAGAAAGAGTTTGAAAGTAATTCAACAACCAAAGGGGGAGTTTTCTCGTGCCGCATGCTGTCTAATACCTCCGAGACGGAATTCAGCTTACCTTTCTTGAGCGAAAGCTGGTTCTCGCCGCCCGCCTGGAAGTCGTACAAGGCGACAAACAGCTGCGGATCGTCTTCCTCCTGAGCCAGCAGGTTCTCCTTGGAGGTCCACCTGTGGGCGGCTTCCACGAGCGCCGCCGTAGCGCAAGCGGTGACAGGCGTGGAGGGTTGGGTCTGCTGACCGCCTGAGGCCGCCCCCGACGTTATGGGGGCGGCCAAGGGGGTAGCGGGGGCAGACCCTGGCGCGACCGGGTCCCCCAGGGGAGTCGTGCCGCTCGGACAGCCACCAGCTGCCGATGGGTCGCCGGCGGTCGGCAGCGCTGGGATATGCGGCAAGGGGCGGCTTTGCAGCAGGGCTTCTGCAACAAACAAAAAATAAGATTCAATAAAATGCGATAAACAATAAATAAGTGATGTATGATGAGAGTTACTGAAACCGGATTCTGTACAGGTTTCCAAAACATTAAGCAGAAATCAGGGAGTCGTTCCTTCTATTATATTGTCCTTTGACAAAATAGCATTTGAAAAGAGCAGTAAGACTTGAGCATTGCATACTACCCAGAGGTAGTCACATTGTGAACAGTTTTACTAAGAAGAAAGACTGGTTTGTCTAGTATCTTCGCAGCGAAGCGTTCTTTTTTTTTCATTATACATGATGGAAGAAGAAAAGGAGTATAAGCCTAAGAATTGCCCTAAGTACTGGCACACCTTGTATCAAAATGGCGATGATGCATACATCAAGAGATGCTGATGTATCCTATAGGCTACGACTTCTCCTCTTCATCCCTCTAAATCGACGGTGATGTTCCCCAAGGATCGCTCTTAGTTCCGACATCGCTCTATGACAGCAGCACCCTACACGCAGGTATTCAGAATGTCAAGCACATCTCTGGCAATGAGCTGGAGAGAAGACTAGCAGCGACTAGCTTACTAACAAGAAGGGCACCAGCACAGCTTTCGATGGCTGGTCGAGTTCGCCAAAGATCCATTCATTTCGGCTGGTCGGAGTCCAGATCACCGAGGACTTTGTCTGGCACGAACACATCTCGTCAATAGCGGCAGCTGCTGAGAAAAAGCTAGGCATTTGTCAGGGACTAAGAACTTTTTTCCACAGAACTGCATCTCTCTGTATAAGGCCCAGAAGAGATCTAGATGCGATGTCAATAGACTCTGCTATTGAGACCTCTCCTGTATCACGCCGCCGCGCGATGTGCCTACCACCGGACTTCAGCCTTCCATCATAACAGTGCCGAACTTCGTACATCCAGAACTGTCAGTATGAGAGCTCCTTTGTCCTTAGGGTGTATTTGTGGAATAATGTGACTGAGGACGGTTTTGCCAGTTATACTAACCTTGGGTAATTAAAAATCGGTGTTTTTTCGATCCTTATAGGAGCCGCGGCGCGCCGGTATTTAGGCGTTTTAGTATAAAAAAGTTTGGTACGAAATATTATTTCGCACTTAAGCAGCCTTGAAGGATAAAGCTACAGTGGAATGTAAGACAAAAACCTGGAAGGTCTGTGGGATCCCGATGCCAATGTGGATAAGCACTTAGAGGAACAAGATCTTCTTATGAAAACGGCTTTGTATCGTTTGTAATTTAGATTTATTCATTTTTTGTATCAGCCGATGAAGAAATGTTTTTTCTACATGAGTTACGGTTCTATTACTTGTAATATGATGAACAAATTATTTTGTCTGTATTGTTTTCTTTGAAACTTGTGACAAGTAAAGTATTTTTTGCTGCGTATTTATATTACAAAAATTATCAATCAATATCAATACTACCTGAATGTGCAAGTACTTGACAGACATACATAAAAACTACTTGACTTCCCTATGAATGATATTGTCCAAATAAAAAATAGCATAAAATTACATGTTTTCCGATTCTACGAACCTCAATAACTCAATTATGTGTTTAACTTAACATCGCATACACATGATGACTTTTATTCCAGTCAAAGCAAAATCAAAACGGTTTAATATCACATGCCGCGAAACATTTACCATACACCTCATTAACTATTCTCGAAACTGTAAATGAGACGTAACTTCATAAGAAAGTGTCATTCCGGATGTTATATTTAAAATATAAGATTGCGTCAAGAGCCATTAGGCTGGAGGCTCCCGCTTGGTTTCCTGGTGGCTATTTGCAGCTACTGCAGATATTCAGACTAACGCGATGACCTAAAATTTTGCCTAACTCAAGTATCGGACGGTGAACATACACTTTAATATATTTACGATAATCTCCTGCAAGGGTAGTTGGAACCATTTAAGAGATTAGGTGTAAAAATAAGGGAAATCGTTGTTTGCCGTGCGTGATGGTATGTGAAATCTGGAAACACCGTCGTGTTTGGTGGCTCTTCCACCACCGATCCCAACAAGAAGCGCCTATTTGCGATGCTCAGTACCGGCCTGACAGTCATGCGCAATGGAACTCTTCGAGGCCGTTACCGCCAGGTGCTAAATTCGTACGGTCAGTCGATTTACGTTACCATCCATAGAAATTAATCGCCAGTTGAGTGAATTATACGGGAAACGTGTATAAGCATTCAACATGTCCTCAAATGGTGAAGAGAGTTCTTTGACTCATCCTCATGTCTCACGACAAACGAAGGACTTCATAGAACGATTTGGCTGGGAAGTCATTGTCAGCAGGTTCCAAGTTTCTGAACGGGCTTGTGGGGACTTCCTTGTGCCGGGAGTGAAAAAGTGGGTTCCACGTCTAAAAAATGAGTAGAAAAAAAGGCGACTATGTACAAGCATGGCTAAAAGATCAACGTTTCCAATGGTAAATTCGTTTTCTCAAATAAAAAAATTCATTGTGTCCGAAAAAAAAATGTAAAGCGTAGATTTGAGACAATCCTCGTATATGATGAACTTTTGGTACGTTAGCTGGAGCTGTCAAAATCCTAGAAAAATTTGCAAACAACTACAAGATAACTTCCTGGCTATAGTTAGATTCCAGAGAATTAACTTGCGATTGAAAACAGCGCCTAAAGTGTATGGTCACCTTTCAGATCTCCCGCGTTTGCAAGATGCCACTCACCTCCGACTATTCTTGAACGCTCTCTTTAGGTATTCAGCTGACATCGGCTCTTGCCACGGACAAAAGTAACTCGGTGTTACTTATGGAATGCAGAAGCACATCAAGGATGTCGTAATCATTCCGTCAAATTAAAATCTGGATACAATACTGACACCGCGAATACAGTATTCCCAAGAAAAAATTCTTCGGTACGTTGTATCATACGTTATTGATATCTGCAGATAGAATCTGACCGCTGGAACGGGAATGGTAATGATCATAATTATAGATAAGATTGGTTTGACACTAAATTCTAAGAATAACGTTTTAAACACGATCGGATCCTTATGTTGTTACTCTAATCTACAGAGTAATATTCAACAAAATGCATAAAGTTGTACAACTAGAGTAATAATAAATGCTATTGCACACCTTCGGGGCCATCCACTGGAACAGTGGACGAACAGCTACAAATCGACACCAAAACCCTAAAAAGGGACGAACATGCACAGAAGTTTGCAACCTAAGTTTGCATGACAGGGTGGTACTGATCACCAGTGGCGTAGCTACCTTGGGTGGTACCCGGTGCGGAAGTTGGTGGTGTCACCCCATCAAAAGTCAAAAATTTATGTACCCGATCCCGACAGGCGCCAGGGACGCTTATGCATCCCTTGTCAGCGTGTAAGGTATACGGTATACATGAGACACCTGCGCTGCCGTATGCTCCATGGGAAATTGAGTCCATTGGGGAGAACGAGAAATGCCGGATTTACTGGAATAATAAGCTAGACATATTCCTTCTCGACTACGAACTTAAGGCGATGTTCGTTATTGAATTTTCGGTTCCTTGCCGAAGTGAACGTCGTCTCGAAGGAGAGGGAAAAACGGACCAAATATCAGGAGCTCCCAACTTCGCGGGCCCTGGCCAGACCGCACTGTCAGGCTGCTAGTCATGGTGATTGGATCATTGGTTGGGATGAGGAATACACTGCTATCTGCAATTAAATCCATACCGGTATGCCGAGCATCGGCAAGCATCTTGGCTGGAATAGTGCGGAAAGCGGTCATCCTCGGTTCCCTCCGTCTACTTAGGGCACACGATTTGCGGACCAACTAGTTGCTTACCTCACGGTGTGAGGAGTGGTTAGTTGTTAACGGAACAGCAGCTTGGTGTGTCTGTCTATTTTTGCTTTGTTGCCTCGTACTGTCGCATGTACTGTTTTTTTTCTCTCTTAAGTCTTGATAAACCTATTAGGTGAACTTTATACTAATTATCTATAAATAATATGATTTCACAAATCCCATAATAGTTACTTAATGGCACGGCGAACAATACTTCGAATCGAATAATTACGGAACATGTGGAATAATTATACATAAATGTTTAAACTCATGAATTCTCCTGGGAATATTCTGTGGTGTTGATTTCATAACAATTTTTTGTGAGACGGAATATGTTTTTCAAACTATGAAACAAAACAAAACTACAAAATTCGGTACGGGAAATATGTTAAATATTTATGCTTGGGTTAGACTTTTGCATCCACTTGGACATTGTCGACAAGTAACTATCTACAGCGTGCTTATGCATCAAAAAATATTATTTTGATTCCAATACTTATTTTCCACTTTTCTAAAGAAAAACCAGTCAATACACCCTTCTTTTCAAAAATCTTTGTTCGTATTCCATTACTTTATACCGTTTTATCAAGAAGTGAAAATGATTGTAATAGTAAATTAGTATAGCCCATTCGTAGTCCATTTACGGCCCGGCACAACGAAGCGTTGCAATAGCTATTGGCCATCCGGCCATAAAACTACGAACAAGTGCAGGATTCGACAGGATAGAACTCAGGCTCGGGGTATCGCCGGCACGCCGACACAGAGTGTTGCTGTTCATGTTACGGATACAGCAGGTGAAACTGCGAATATTTCTCCCAATGCTTACTTCAGCAATGCTTCCTCTTCAGTGATGTTTCCTTCCCGAAAACATGACAAGGAGAGACATTTGAATATTCAGGCAAAAGAAATTGTCCTTAACGTTTATAAGAGCGAACTTTTAGAGGATCCTGAAACGAGAATTCATGATATTGAAAGACGTGTGGCTTATGCCCTAAACAATTTTCAGCATTGTTAAAGAATATAAAAAAACAAAGTAGACTGAATCTATGAGGACACGCTGAAAACTTAGCTACACTAAACTTAGATATATCTGGTAGATTTGGAACCAACACCTGTTAAACGCTTTGCTTGAATTATTATTAGTTTTCTATATAATTTTTTTTTCTATATAATTATTTCCAGGAAAAGGACTACGAATTGGGTA